CGAAGTTGTTTATTTTCCGCCAGAAGATTACGATCCTCCATGAAGCATTTCTGAGCCTCTTGCAGGCAAAGAATGCGAGCAGCCTGAATCTCTTCATAGGTGAGTCTTGCCCCATTTGTCAGCGCTACAGTTTTAATGGCCCTGGTCCTTTGGATGAAGCGTAATGCGTAAGCTACAACGTGAACCAGTTTTGTCCAGGACGAGACCCGCTGAGTCAACGCTTCGATTGGTGAAAATGAGCCGCCTTGCTGAGTGGTTAATGCGGTGGACTTGACTTCTTCCTTGCCAGGATTATCTGAAAGGGAAGAACGGAACTTTGTACAGCTCAACTTTACCGAAAGCTTTTCTGGATCTTGCAGCCATGAAGGTCCCATCCACCATAAGTCGAAATGGAGAAGGTCTGCAGCAAGCATTCCTCGTGTGGCGCAGTCCGCCGGATTCTCCTTTGTGTTTACATGATGCCATGAACTGCGCGGCAACGCGTCGAGTATTTCTGAAGACCTGTTTGCTACAAATGTTTTGAGCTTCGATGGTGGATGTGAAAGCCAAGCCAAAACTATGGTTGAATCACACCATGCGTGTATTTTGATGTTCTTGTGTTGCAGAGAATCCTTGACTGATAATATTAGTCTGCTGAGTAGCAAAGCGCCACAGAGCTCGAGACGCGGTAAGGATTGCTGCTTCAGCGGAGCTACTCTGGTTTTTCCCGCTATGAGTGAAACAGATACGGTGCCATCTGCTCGTACCACTCTGCTGTAGATGACTGCGGAATATGCCTTAATGGAGGCATCTGAGAATCCATGCAGTTCGATGTGATCCCCATTGTTTTCTACAAATCGTGGCAGGCGTAGTTCTTGAAGTATGTATAAGTCGTTACGGCATTTGTTCCACCAGTCAGTAATTTTTGGAGGAAGCTCCGTGTCCCAGCCGAGATCCAGTAACCACAATTCTTGAAACAAAATTTTAAGCTGCACCACCACTGGCGACAGAATACCCAGCGGGTCAAAGATGCGTGCCACGTCAGAAAGCACTTGGCGTTTGGTGTTGTCCGGGTTTGGTGTAAGGCAAACTTTGTAGGATAACGTATCCTCTTCTGGATTCCAATGAATGCCAAGAACCTTTGCTGTAGGATTGGATCCTTTGTCTTGTACCTCGGTTGTAGAAGTAGCTCGGTCAGTGATACGTGATGAATTGGAAACCCATTTGCCAAGTTCCATGCCTGCACATTTCATTAATTGGATCAGCTCTTTTTGATTGCGAATTAGCTCTTCTTCTGTGTGTGCTCCTGTCAGTACGTCGTCCACATAAAATTGCTCCTTCAAGATCCTTGCAGCTGTGGGAAACTCGTGTTGGTGGTCGTGAGCTAACTGATCCAGGACTCTCACTGCCAAGAATGGTGCACTAGACGTGCCGTATGTTACCGTGGAAAGCTCATAGTGCTTGATAGGTGTGCTTTCGTCTTCTCTCCAAACAATACGCTGATAGCAACAATGGTTGGCAGCCACAAAGATTTGTCGATACATTTTGACAATATCTGCTGAAAAGACGAACTTGTACATTCTGAAACGCATACAAATCAAGAAGAGGTTTCGAAGAATGCTGGGTCCAATGTGTAGAGCATCGTTTAAGGATTTTCCATACGTATCCTTGAATGAGCCGTCAAATACTACCCTTAGCTTTTGGGTAATTACCGGATGATGAGGCAAGTAAAAATTTGGCCCTTTGTCAATGTCTCCTGGTGATAATTCCCGCATGTGACCTAACTGTAGGTACTCACGCATAAATTGTACGTACTGTGAGTGCAGATCGGGGTCCTTCTTTAGGCGGCGTTCTACACCCCTGAATCTTGCAAGTGCTCCTTGTAATGTATCCGAAAACTGTTCGTTGGAGTTTTTGAAAGGAAGTTCGACGATGTAACGCCCCTTTGAGTCCCGAGAATGTGTTTTCACAAAGTGCTGTTCAACTTCGTCGTCCTCTGGTTTTCCATGGAATTCCTGGTTGACATCCTCCAGCTCCCAAAAGCGCCGAAGAGTTGAGTCAATGTCAATAGCCGTGTGCATTGTTGTTGTGGATGAATAGCCGGTAGTGATGATAGATGTTATGACCCATCCAAAAATGGTCGAAATGGCGATGATGTTGCCCTGAACGTCGAACATCTTTTGACCGGTGAACACGGTCCAAACGTAATCACTGCCCAAGAGAATATCGACTGGCGCCAACGATTGATAGTTAGAATCCGCAAGCTCAAAGCCAGCGAATACCTTGAGTGCTGAGGCGTCGATATCGTGTCTTGCTAACGTGGAGGTAATTTTGCTGAGTACGTGTGCACGTACCTTCATTGTATGATCGGAGATCCTTGACTGCATGTCCAGTGTGCTGCAGCCTCTAGTTGTCTCTGCCTTGATCGATGAAATTCCAGACACCAAAATGCGTGAGGGCGAGCGTGACAGACCAAGTGCCTGTACGCACCTCTCTGAGATGTACGACAGTTCCGAACCACTGTCCAAAAGTACCCGACATGTAGTGTGCGATCCTTGTGCGTTTTTAACAAACACCAGAGCTGTTGGCAATGCACTTTTCCTTAGCCCTTGGGGCCGTGTAGCCGTTGTTGATCCGTTGCACAAGGACTCAACTGTGGGAGCCACTTGCGCACGAGCAATATGGCTGATGGTCCCCGCAGCCTCTTCGGGAGCGCTTGAGATGTGCTTTTCATCAGTGTGTGGCTGTGTCGTGGTCACAGCGGCTTGCGATCCAGAAATATCGACATGTAGGAGAGAGTGGTGGCGATTATGGCAAAACCTGCATGTAAATTTGGATTCACACTTGCGTGATACATGCCCATGCTTAAGGCAGTTGAAACACAATGATTTTGCCTTAACAAATGTGCGTCTCTGCTCGATGGATGCTTCAGCAAACTTTGGGCAACCGTAGATTTTGTGCTCCTTGGAGTTACATTTCGCACAAGCATTTTCTTCCATCGATACTAAAGCGTGTGACGAACGCTTTGCTTTGCTTGGTTGTGGGCCACCCTTGAAGTCGATGTCCGAGTCACTTTTGCTGAGCTCGAATTCCTCGCAGCGTCGGTCTAAAAACTTGAGTAAATCATTCACAGACGGAGATTCAAGTTCCCGGCTTCCCTCAATCCATTTGCGTCGAGTTTCAGCGTCGATCTTGGCCAGAATGAAGTGTATGATCCAGCAGTCCCTGTTAGTTTGCCCTGCTGCATCCAATCCTCGTACAATCTCCGTGGCTCCGTCGGTCACCTTGCGCAGAACTGTAACGTCTGCCTTGGATGTCGAAGGGAGATTCACAAACGTTTCCAGCAGAGTGTTGACAATGTGACGTGGTCTGTTGTATCGATCAATTAGGCAACTCCAAGCAGCCTCGTACGCAGCATCCGTTATTGGCATATGACGAATCAAATCAGATGCTTCTCCCGTAATATACGTTTTTAAGTAGTGGAACTTTTGAATTGCTGTCAAATGCTGCTTGCTATGGATCGTACTCTCGAAGATGTTTTTAAAGGCTGGCCACTCCTTGTAGTCACCAGTGAACACTTTGATGTGAATTTTTGGCAGTTCGTTGTGCATTACATTTGCTGCCGAGTTTGCCCTCAAAAACGTTGATTGTTGCTCAGCTAAACGCTCATTCAGTTCCTGTTGTTGTTGTAGAAAACGAGCCAGGCTTTCGTTTCCCCATCCAGATGAACTTGATGCGGCATCGCCAAGATTGCCAGATTGCCTACCGCCGCTGCCTTCTCTGTCGCTCTCATTAGATGATTGACAGCGCCGTTTGATGGTGTGAAACAATGTGTTTGCTTGCAAGTACTTATCCTCGTATCTCTCGTTGTCGATGGCTGGATCGACATACCCCTCATTTTCTTCATAAAGGGCCATTTGATCGCTAATGGTCTCAAACTCCTTCCAAACGTTGTTGAGCCTTTCCAATGAGACTGTGATTTCATCAATTTCCCAGTTTGATCCCGCACGTGGATCTTGTGACGCCGTTAGCAAGCGCGTAATACTTGCCTTCGCACGGCTTCTTGCTGCCTTCAAAAGCTTTAATTGATCCATGTTAATCAATTGCTCGATCTGGCTCGAATGACCAAATATGTGGTGAAGAATAAACACGGTTTATTTCCGATTTGAGTGGACTGTATCTTAAGCTTTATTGAACCGACATGTTCCGCTGTAGTCGTCTTACTTATACATACATAAAAAACCAAAAAATCTCATAGTGATACAAAAAATACCTAAAATACTAAAAAAGGGCAAAAATACTATTTTGCATGGCACAAGTATAATATTTTGAATTCAAATTGTGGATGCATTCCGTTCATCAACAAGTATTAATAGGATTAAATTGCAAATTGTGTATTATTTATGAAAATATCTCTATTGAGTAATAAAAGAAAAAAATAAATGGAATGTAACAAGCTAAAGCTCCTCGAATAGTTTGACATGCAAAATGATGTAAGTAGGTTTTGAAATTGTATATTTTCTTTGTTCCACTTCTGACTGCTACAAATTGTAGCACCAATACTCAATGGGAATAGTCTAGAGGCAATAAGGGAAACATATAAATTGCAAATTGCTTCTGGCAAAGGAAATACTGACACTTAAAGCGCATCTTGCCGTTCAGTGGAGTGTCATCGAAAGTATTTGGACCTGTTTTATTGTCGTCAGCGTGTTGGAAGAGCAGTAAAGCAATAGCCATAAAACAATTCGCTCGATGGCAGGTCAAATTAAAAAACGCTCATTAAAATAAATTGCCAACTGCCCAAACTCAAGTAACAAAAAAATTCTGTGTTGCGGCTAGGTCGGTAGCGATATTAATCAATAACAAAGTCGATTTCGAGTTCAGTGAGCTTAGAGCTTCTTCTTTACACATGGCCGGAGATTTAAGGCCAAAAATCGATGGCCTAATCCTCCTTCCAACTCCCCGCATATTATATTTTTGTAACAATTTGTAAACTCACAGTTTCCTTTATTTATTTACAGACTTTAAAATGGCAGCGGACTGGCGATTAATGTGCCTGCTTGGAATCCTGCTCTTTGTGGGAGTACCCGTAAATGGGGAGGTCTACACGGCCTTGGCTGAAATGGAGGAACTACTTGAGACTGAATCCGTACTGATTACCAACTTGGAGGGCTACATTCGCGTGCAGGAGAACAAGCTGAGTTTTCTCAAAAAGTGAGTATGCATTACAAGAATTTACCGGCATTAATTTGGATTTAATAATATACAAATTAATTGGGAAACCTTGCTTTTATCGGGCTTTAAATTACATAGTCAACTAACGAACGAACACTAAATAAACATTGATTGTCCCATATTTATGAAATCCCACAGCCTAAAACTTTATTAAATTGCAAAATATACAATTATTTACTGCATAAACATATTTTGTAATTGACCTATTGAGAGCGGTTAATAAATTTTCTCATTTGCCAATATCCAAAAAAAACAAATACAATTACAAATTAGTGGCTTTGTTTACCAGCAAGCAGAAAAACGTTCCCTTTCTGTTTAATTAACTTTAATGAATTTGGCCTTTCGATTTGAAACCTATTGTTGCAACCGTTACCTTATAAAGTAATTTAATATATTCAAAAGCAGTAGCTGTAATTATGCTGAAAGAGTTGAAAAGGTACTCCAATTAAATTTATTTTTATATTCAGGGTGAATGGCTAGGGCTTTCTGTGATTATGATTATTATTTTAAATATAAGATTTCAAAAGCAGCACAAATATATATTTAAACTACAGTAAACTACTACTAAGAAGAAATAGTATTTGCTCATTTATTTTTCCAATTTGTGTGCAATTAAAACAGCTTTAAAAGAAAGGGCCTTATATTCGTGATTACAAGGCTAATTATACCATTTTAAAAACGTAATTTTAAACGTTTAAAGCAGCAGGCCTAATTGTTATGAAATAGCTGAAAATGTGTTCCAATTATAAACATTTCTAGAGTCACGGTAAATTTTAAGAGTTTTGCTTTGGATAGAAAGGTGTTTCTTTACACTGACTTTTCTTGTTTGGTAACATAATTAAACAATTTCAAAATAGTGATTTTATATATTGAAAGCAGCTGTCATAATTATGATAAAATAGAAGGAAAGTTTTCCCATGTGATTTTAATGAAGTTTATTTTCCTTTCTAAGCAATAATAACCTAACTTATACCTATAAAACTTGGGACTTAATAAATTCAGAAGAGCAGTCTAAATAATGCTGCAATTCTTAAATCGATTTTCCCATTAATGAATGTAATGGGCATAATAAAACCTTTTTCTAGTTTAATTTAAAGAACTGAATTATTTAGTTTTAATCTTATGGGGCACTAAGAACCCTAGAACTTAAAAACCAATCCCGAAACTATTTAGCATAAATTCTTCTTATGCAAATGGTGCCAAGATGTTGTCAGTTCGTAAATGGGGGACTACAAAAGAGGTTCAGGTAGCTGCCTGCATTCTGGTAATTACTTTTGCCACGTGCGAAGGGGCAGCTGTTGCACGCAGCACCTAACCACCATTATGTGTAGTTTTACCATATCTGTATCTGTATCTGAGGAGGCGCCCCTTGCATACATGACTGCAGATACATATCTTTCGCTTATGTACCTACACAGGGGATCTATATGCTAGATATGTGTGGCAACTGGCGGCGGAAATAATGATATGGGGGAGCGCAGCGGAGAGGTGCAGGATGCGGTGAGACAACTCCCCTAATCAAATAATGCCAGTCGCATTCAGGATCTATCTTGTGCGGCTGTTTCTGTACTGTTTCTGCACTTCTACCTTGGCTTTGTCACAACAAAGGACGAGACAGGATCCTCGCAAACAGCTGACAGCTGTGTGCCTGCTGCCTCTGTCTCTGTCTGTGTCTCTGTATCTCTCTCTGTCTCTGTCTGTGTCTCTGTATCTTTCTCTGTCTCTGTCTCTGTCTCACAATGCGATATCCTTGTGCGCTGTCATTGCCCTGCCTTTGAGTATCCTTCGGATGCAGCAGCCCCGCCAACTCCTCATCTCATCCCACTCATCATCTGTTTGTGTCGCGTGCCGTCTGCCGGCGTTTAAATTTTAATGCCACTGCCCAGCTGTTGTTGGTGCCTCCAATTTCTGACTAATCCGCTTGGCAGTTGCCTTCTGGCTACTCAGATTTGCTTTTGGCCGCCGTTCCTAACTGGCTTTTTGGCCCGAAAGGCAATTAAATTCGGCCACCGCGGAGGAGACAAAGGACAACGCGTGTGCATCCAATCTGCGAGGCCCAAAGCCATTCAATATGCATGTGTTAGACCCGGAATCGAGATTCAAGAACTCAACGCATTTCTCCATATTCTCCATATTCAAATGTAACGGTCGCTTGGGCAGCAAAAAGTAGGGGAGTGGCTGTTTTTAGGGAAGGTTTTCGAACTGCAGAAGCCACCGAGTCGAACAAGTATAAATTTAAATGGGGAAGATACGACAATAAAATACCCAGCTTGTCAATTAATGTAATATTGTGTGTGAGGCACTTAATTAAAATAAATATAGGTCATGAAGTCAAATGACATGTGTTTATTTTCAGAGAAACAAGAGAGCAATGTGGTAAAACAATATGTGTGAACAAACTCTTGTAGATTTATGAAAAACATGATAAAGTTCTTTCTACAAAATTATAATTTGACGGAGTCAAAGAAACAAACAAAATCTGAAATTGTTCACTGAATGAATGTTGTCAGAATTGCATATAAATGGAAAAACTAGATATGCTCTCGACTTTGAAAGCTCTAGTTTATGACTTTATTAATGGCAGAAATATGTGCATATTAAACTAAACTGTTCTCTAAAACTATGCATTTCAAGCTTATTGAATTATTTTATGGTGACGACTATTTGATACAAAAATGTTAAAACAAAAACTTGATATCCAAACAACTAATATTGGGGGGCTGTGATAGAGCGGCCAATAATATTATGAACTAATTATGCATAATATGAAGCAACTAGTTCTAATGATACAATTCTAAGAGACATTCATTTCAGGTAAATTATGTCATTTTTCTGGCGTCAAAATGTGCTGATATGATCCAGTCTGCACTGGTTATACATAATATTATGTGGACTTAAATATCACTAAACAACCTAGCCTACCCTAACTTCCCTTTCCTTTATTTAAGTGGTATCGAAACAGAATTAAAGCCACGAGGGAGCGTTATGAGTTGGTAAATAAGAATTAAAAACGCTGATAAAGCGCACCGAATGAAACGCCGGCTGCTCCTGCAATTCGCTAGGGGTTTTTAGGTTTTAGTTTTGTTCCGAGTTGAAATGTCTCAGTTGGAAATGCGTTTCAACCCTCAATGCTGAGCAGGAGCAGATGTTTCTGGGTTTTCTCTGTTTTCTGTTTCTGTTTTTCTGGCTTAATGGAACGCGCCAAACAGAGTCGGTCATTGTACGGGTGTCTTATGTAAAAGTAAATGGTGTTTTATGGGGTTGGGGTATCGCAGCACGATCCACTCGACTGCGCGCCGGCGCAGGAAGTGGAGGAAGTTGAGGAGCTGCCGGCTGGAACGACTCTCCAGATCAGTTGAGTCGCAGTTGCCGAAGCGAACGGATCGCAGATCTTGAACACGCAGTGTGAAAAGTGTCTAGAAAACCCAAAGAAACGCAACCCCTTAAAGGTTGTGGAATAACCACCAGTACAGTGCCAACATGTCGCAGCATAATTATACGAACCCGGCGTTTTGCCAAAATAGCGAGTTTTATCCGGTCCCCAGCAGCAACTCCTCGCGAGTGGAGTCCATTTACAATAGGAGTCTCCAGATGAACTTTGGGGCAGCTCCTCCGCGCTCTGGACATGCCACGCCCACACGAGATTCCCGCGAGGGTCCACTGCGAATGCAACGTAGCATGTCCACGCGATCGGTGACGCGGAAACAATATCAGCAGCAGCAACAGCAGCAACACCAGCAACAGCAACACCTGGCACATCAGCAACATCAGGCCAAACAGCAGCAGTATCAGCCAAATCAACAGGCAAACTCAAGTGGCCGCTATGCCCTGGTTCCCTTGGAGGAACTGAACAGCAGTAGGGCCAGCAGATATGCCATAGTTCCTGGCCAGGCTGCCCAACGATTGGCCAGATCGCAGGATGACCTGGATCGCTATAGTTCCCGGCATGGCTTGCATGAGGCAGAGGAGCCGCACTCCTTTCACGAAGAGCCGCATCAGGAAACCCAGTTTGCCAGCTTGCCGCCCATTCTAAATCTACCACCCAAGCCCAGGAGCAACAATAATAACAACCCAAATCCCAATCAAAGCCAAATAAAGCATGCCTTTAGCAGTGACTTTGGCAGCAAGACCTTTTTGATAGTGGATAAGAATAGCAACCAGCGGTACCAGATGGTTCCCACCGCCGAGGATGAGGAATTGGTGGACGAGAACCAGGAGATCATACAGATGCACAATGGCAGGGCCCATCGATATGCGGTGGTGCCCACAGATGCAGATGAGGATGATCTGGCCGAGGAGCAGGAGCAGCAGGAAACCTGCCTCAGTAACATGGAGTTGAGCCAGCAATATGCGGCCAGGACTTCAACGCCGCAGCAAAGGAATGCAGCTGCTGCCACAAGGGCGCTGCATGAGCTGCTGACCACGCCCCGGAAAATGCAACCGCCTCCGAGATTGGCCCACTCCACGCCCCGAAATGCCGCCCATCATGAGCAGTTGCAGATGGAGAGGAGATTGGAGATCTACAAAAGCCAGCAGATTTACCAAAGTCAGCAGGTTGGTGGAGCTATTGGGGCTCCACCGGCTTTACCCCTCCGACAGAACCGACTTTCCCCCCAGAGACTCCACTACGAAACCGTGAAACCGCTTCCCATGCAGATTGCCGACCGATCCATGGCAGTGATCAGTCCCAGGGTTCAGGAACAGGAACAGGAGCAGGAACGGGACCAGGACAAGAGCAGCATCCAGGGAAAGGGAAAGAACAACAACTCGTATCCGCAGAAGATGGCCAATGCCACCATTACTTTGGCCATCGTCTCCTTGATGCTCGTCCTGGGCAGCACCACGAATGCGGGACTCATCATCTACATGATTGCCCACGTAAGTACTCAAAAACATTTTTTTAATTGCTCTGAAACTGAGAACATCATTATTCACATATCTTTAAAATTTGTATTTAATTTTTTTCTCGTATTTAAAATATCTTCAAAAAGTCTTTCAAATAACGTAATTCAAAATATTTTAAAGTAAATGAACATTATAATTAATATTCACTCTAAGTTTTTGCAACCTTTTTAAAAATACATTAGGAAAATGGAAAGCATTTGATTGAATTATAAGGTTCAAAGTGACTTTGCGTACCTATTTGTTTTAACAGAACAAGTTAATAGCCAATTTTTCTCCTCCTCAGCTTGGTAAATCGTTTTATCTGCAGTTCGGCCTGCTGGCATCTTTTTGCGGAATGGGACTTGGATTCCTGGGGTTCAAATCGCGACAGTGTGATTGGCTGCCGAATCGGAGTTATAGTTCCGGATATATCCTGGTGACCGTGTTCTGCCTCTTCAAGTCCTGCGGTCTGCTATTGATTCTGGTGAAGGATCCCTTCCCCGGTTTTCCTGTCCACGATGTGACCACCGGAGTTATCCTTGGACTCTCCACCTTCACCATGTTTTTCATTGGACTGGGAGTGCTGGGAACTCTGTGGTGCCACCGACCTCCGCCGGATAACCGCGTCAATGTGGTGTAATCCAAAGAAATTAGTTAACATTTGCTCTTAGTCTCTAAATAGTTGTACACCATCCACTTCGACATCAAGAACTTGACACACCGAACGGCTAAAAGACCAAAAACAAAGTATTAGATTTATAACCAGAGGAAAATCATCATCCCCCCAAACGACTGTATATAATAAGTGGGTTGTACTTATTGCTAGATAATAGTTTGTTTAACTTATTGTTCACCCTTAGAATAAGTGTGTTTCGGTGTAAGAATTTAATAAAGGCACTTAAATACCAACTTAAAAAGCGTTTTGTTGCAATGAAATGGAAAAAACATTGCCCCAATTACTTAAAGATTTTACTGATGCATTTTACTTAATAGACAAGTTTTTATTTGGGTCTATTAGCAAGAGTGTATCATATTTGTGTTAGTCAGCTAGGTGCTTCGGTAAACATTTTTCTTAAGATATAAGCAACTTTGCGTTTGGCAAAGTCACTAGATAAGCAATATATTTTAAGTGGAACAGTAGGAGAAACATTGCAATTTTCCCCACTTTAACTTATTGCTTTTGCATTCACTTATTGATAAGCATGAAAGTTACGCCATTTTGTTTGAGCTGTAGCTTATTTTTGCCGCAGGACTTGGGATGTTCTTTTGGGCCAAGTTCAAACTTTAGCTTTCCCTTCCACGAGTTGTAATGCAATTTACCTGCTTGCAAAAGCACTTAGTGAACTGTCTGGTAACTTTTCCCCTCTGTCCTTTAATTCTAGTAAAATGGACGAGTACCAGCGGGAACACTCGGATGCCTCCAGTGATATCACAGCCTATGTATCCAACCCAATTAATGCATATTTGCTGACCAAGCGGCTGACCACAGATTGGCGGCAGGTTGAGAACCTCATGGAGCACGATGTGGGCACGGATTTCTTGCAGAACATTACCCAGTATCGCAGTGTTCTGAAGTTTCCCTCAGACGAGGATCTCAATGGAGCCGCTGTGGCTCTGCTCCGCCTGCAGGACACCTACCAGTTGGACACATCAAGTGTGGCAAGGGGAAAACTCAATGGAGTTCAGTACAGGTCAGTTTAGTTTTAATTAGTTTAAATACCTTTAAAAAAAAACCAAAAATGTTTACAAAATTCTGGCGAAGCTGTAAGGCTTTATACGAACCTTTCTGCTACCAAACAATAAACAACTTTGAATGGCTTAGTCCCTGGAATTTCACCTGTCCAATTTATTCCCCCTCAGCACGGAAATGTCCTCGGACGACTGTTTCGAGCTGGGGAGACAATCGTACGTGAACCACGACTACTACCACACGGTCCTCTGGATGAACGAGGCGATGGCCCGAATGCTGGAGGAGCCGACCAACCACACCCAGAGTTTCACCAAGGCCGACATCCTCGAGTACCTGGCCTTCTCCACTTATAAGGAGGGTGAGTGCACTGGCCACTATATTCTATATTTGTCTGTCCCCCGAGTGCTTGGTTGCACTTCAAAAAAAAGGCATTGTTTAGTGTGCAAACAAATAAGTATACCTTTTCAGATGCTCACTTGGGTTTAGTGTTGTTAAAAAAAAGAGATAGATCAGAACAGAACAAGGTATTTTTTTATTTTTTTAAAACTTATATTCAAGAGGTGAAGTTTTTTTTTGAGTACGAATCAAAAGGAGTCAAATATCAGAAGCACTAGCAATGTCAATTATGAATATATTTTCACAAGCTCTCTAGGAACATAAATATATTTCCCAAAACTAAAATGGCACAAGCTTGGGACCATGCTCTATAAATTATTTACTATAATTTCACAGTTTGTACCGTTTTGAAACTAGATATTGTCCTTAAATTTCGGTAATTAAATTCTCAGAGTGTGTTTGCTGTCCCATCTCGTTGTTGTCCCGGCTCGTTTGCATGGCACTTTCGATGTCCATTTGGCTGCAGGAAATTGCACTCAGTCCCCGGCCACTTGCCTTCTGTTGTCCCAACTCCTGCCACTTTTCACAGTTTCTGCAGTTTCCACACTTTCCACCTGGGGACGCTCTTAGGGTGCTCCATTAAGTGCGAAAAAGTGTTGGCCATCTGCAGCCAGTGCGACAATGTTGTGGCCAAGAGGAGCAATCACGTATACCAGGCCAGGATCGGCTGGGCACGTCCTTTTTGCCAGGGAGTCGTGTGCTTTATTAACGTCTTATTACCCCGGTAAGCGTCCCCATCCGTTCATCAAAGAGCTGGCACACGTTGTCAGTGTCTTTAGTGGGTGCTCCTTGATTCTAGATGGCTCTACGTGGAAACCGTGGCTCGACACACAATTTATGGGCGTGTCGCCATATTGTGTTGAGGAACGACACCAAAAAAAAACAGCAGCACAAATGGGTCCGCCCTCGAGGCAAGTGACAGGCTTTCTGTCAGCCCACCACTCTGGGGTGGCACTCACATGTGTCGGGAGATGCAAATTTAAATTCCTGTCGCCGACAGGACCTCAAAAGTTGAGGTCGGAAGGTTGGAGGTTGAAGCCAGAGTCCTCGGAAAACTGGCGGGCAAACTTATTACTGGGGGCCGGGGATAAGTGACTGGCTGGAGCTGGACGCAAATGAATAAATAAGTGCGCAGCCTGCAAACTTTGGCAACAATCCAATCGACTTTGATGACCCAGGTCTCAAAAAGTTCGAGGTCAGGTGGTAAAACTTTCAAAGAAACTGTGGCATATTTTCGGGCGAAGCCATTTTTACTCAGATGGCTATCGCACTTAAGTCCCCTTAGAATTTAAACCCTGATGAATTAATTGTGCGGTTCGCTTAAGTGCAAAACCCTTGACTTTAAAAAAGTTCTTTTTAACTAACTGGTTGGTTATTTATTCAGGTTATTATAGGTTGCCTAATGGCCTCGTCACTTTGATGTTTTTAAGCTAGTAGCTGTAGAGTTTATGTTAAATTATTCTGACTTGCTTTGAAGAACAAAGTGTAAGAACATATTTTTGCAAATTAAAATTAAGACCTTCCATCTTAATTACATTATAAAATGGGCAATTCTTTGACGTACAATTTACCCTATAAAAGAGAAAATTAAAAGTGGTTTTTAAATAAACGGAGAAGTTCAGAACTTTTAATAGCCTCAGCAGATAAATGTAGTAGAGGACGAAGAACATAAAGTTGATTTCATTTATATGTTTTTCTTTAAAGGAAAAGGGGTTTCCACATTATTATTAAAATTGGAAAATTCACAATTGGTAAATTAAATTAATTTAAGTATTCCTTGACTTCCCTTTTTAGGCAACATAGAGAGCGCGCTGACCATGACCAACGAGCTGCTCCAACTACTTCCACACCACGAGAGGGCCAATGGAAACAAGCGCTTCTATGAAAAGGAGATTGCTACCCAACTGCAATTGAAGAAGATGAAGGGCGACGATGGCACCGATGAGATGCCAATGTCCGATTTGGTATGATATATAGACAAAGCTATCCAAGATCTCTTAGTACTTGATTACCCATTTCCAGCCCGTGGCCAAAAGTGATCCCTCTGTTTTTGACATGACTGAACGCAGGGCCTACGAAATGTTGTGCAGGGGTGAACTGAAACCATCTCCTTCGGATTTGAGACCCCTGCGTTGTCGTTATGTCACCAACAATGTGCCCTTCCTGCGATTGGGCCCCCTGAAAATGGAGGAAGCCCACATGGATCCCTATATAGTCATCTATCACGATGCCATGTACGACAGCGAAATCGATCTGATCAAGCGGATGGCACGCCCTCGATTCCGCAGGGCTACGGTCCAAAATTCCGTAACTGGAGCTTTGGAGACTGCGAACTACAGGATCAGCAAGTCCGCTTGGCTGAAAACCCAGGAGGATCGGGTGATCGAGACTGTGGTCCAGCGCACGGCGGATATGACCGGTTTGGATATGGAATCCGCCGAGGAGTTGCAGGTGGTTAACTACGGCATTGGAGGTCATTACGAGCCGCACTTTGACTTTGCCAGGGTGGGTATTTTCCCCAGGAAATTCCATGTATTATCCAGCTTAAAAACCAACCCTTTTTTATCCTACTTTTTTTTAGAAAGAGGAACAGCGCGCCTTTGAGGGTCTTAATCTGGGCAACCGCATTGCAACTGTTTTATTCTATGTAAGTTGGTTTATTTATACCTTTTATTTTAATAAAATAATCCGATACATGCGTTTGAATATTAAATTTCCATATTTCTATGCACAAGCACATCCCACACAAATTTATGTTCAGCTTACAAAGTTCTTTGAATTTGCTTGTTGTTTGCACAAGCCAAGGGAATCATTAGTACGGCTCTTATTTATAAATAGAGATGCGTAGGTTGCAGTGGCATGCAATTCCATTCAGTTGCAAGCTGTGAATGCAAAAGGAACTCACAATAGCAGAAAAACAGATACAAAAACCGAAGCATCCTTGCAAATGTAGTTTGCTGTTTTCAATAGGCTCCTTTTTTGTCGGCAAAGTTGTTGTTTGTCAATAATGAGCTCTGAAATTGATGACTAGCCCATGAAAATCGGAATTATTTAATTGGCTTGCAAAATGTGTCCTAAAACTATATCGAATTTTAATTGTGTATAATAATATAATCCGTTTATTAATCTTTTGATTGTCATTTAATTTTCAATTCCAATAGATGAGTGATGTTAAGCAGGGAGGCGCCACTGTTTTCACCTCCCTTCATACTGCTATATTTCCCCAGAAGGGCACGGCTGCCTTTTGGATGAACCTGCACAGAGATGGAGAAGGAGATGTAAGGACTCGTCATGCGGCCTGTCCTGTACTCACAGGCACCAAGTGGGGTGGGTTATAAACATAATTCATATATAATTAAATTTTATTATTATTAAAATCCACTTAAAACAGTGTCCAATAAGTGGATCCACGAACGGGGACAGGAGTTCCGCAGACCCTGCTCCTTGGACGAGGATCACGGCGAGTTCGCCATCTAAGCCGGAGTCTAGTTAGTGAATGCAACGAATCTTATGGGCGGCATCTCATCCTTCGCCATCGGCCATCGACTTCCTATTGTAAATAAAGCATTCAGTCCGAATACGGGCGCATCTGTTCTACTTATCGGTTCGACGGGTGGAACCACTTCTACCTAGCTATATCTTAGACTCATATGGAATTTATCTACTTTTGTATATTTGTATAGTTTAAGTAGTTCAAAAAATTGCAATAAAATCAGAAATTTAAAGCAAAATAAGGAATTTTGTATGGGTTATATTTTGGGTTTGGAATTAAATAGTAAAAAAATGGATGGGCATTTAGAATGTACACAGATAAAATAGTTGAACCCATTATTTTGTAGCTCAAATACTAAAAAAAGCTTGTTAAGTCTTCTTCAATTGAAAATCGTGTAAAAGTGTCTGAAACGAATCGAAATTGGGGAGGCACTCTGCTCCGGGTCTGATGTTCGATTAGTGGGTGGCGATTCATCAGCCGGAGGGGTCATCCATCAAGTGCGGTAAGTGGAGCTCCTGCTGCATCAGCTGCTAACGGATACGATTGCGTAAGGGGTGTGTGTGTTTGCCTGGCTGAGTGGATACAAATCGGCTTATCCTTGCCGCATTGCGTTGCATACTTTGCGGCGCCCCGGGAAATTCAATCGAATTTTGCCTGAAATGCGAAAAGAGCAAATGGAAGGTGGGTAGCATTATTGCAATTGAGTAAGTATTGATATAGAAGGATTTTAATATTTCAGCATTATTACACTTTAATATATTTGATATAATTTCACATTTAATAACAACAAGAAAACATTAGAAGCAGAAGTCAATTATTGGAGAGTATTACACTTTAATATATTTGCTTTAATTTTACATTTAATAACAACAAGAAAACAAAAGAAGCAGAAGTCAAATATTTCAGAATATTGATTGCTCTTATAAATATAAAATAAATAATACGGAAAAAAATGGTGCAGCTTTACTTTTGTAAAACTTTAAATATATTGAACAGGAAATGGTCCCATTAAAATGTATAAAAAGTTATACGACTGCGTATGATATTACAAAAATTTCCATTATCATGTTGAATAATAACTAAAGGTAGTGAATGAAAGCTGATATCTGCTTCAGATGTCCAACTACTATATTGTTTAGAAAATCGTTATCAGACAAGAAGTAATTTAATGTGGCTCTCAACTGATACGCTCCGTACATTTGTTATCATAAAGAGTATCTGTAAAACTCAAACTTAAAGTACATTACAATTTTTTGATTAGATTCAAAAATTGGTTAATTAAAAATATTGAAGTATAAGTTTTCAATTAAGCTATTTTTCAGATTGTTGACCCACTCCTATTTAAGAATATTACAATTAAATATCAAATGAACATGGAAAATACAAAAGATCACTCAAGCTCAAGCTTTATTTTAGGTATCAAACTTTTTACAAACATCAAAACTTGATCAACTATGTATATACATGCCATAATTTTAGCAAAGACCCACTTCCTCCAAGCTTATCAGTGGTTAACAATTGTCATGCTAAATACTTAGCCGTAATATACAGCCGGCGAACTTTCAGACCCAACAAAAGTTCCTAGGACTGATAAGACAGTGGTTTCCGTATAAAAGAGCGGTCAGTTTCTGGGAAAGCCATCAGTTGAAAGACTATCCAAGATGAAGTTGTTTGTATTCCTGGCTTTGGTGGCCCTGGCCACTGCCATCCCTGCTCCCGAGCAGAAGAAGGAGAAGCTGACCCCCGTGGCGTTTAAGGATATCCAGGGTCGCATTACGAATGGCTACCCAGCCTACGAGGGCAAAGTGCCCTACGTCGTGGGCCTGAGCTTCAGCGGCAACGGAAACTGGTGGTGCGGTGGCTCGATCATCGGCAACACCTGGGTCCTGACCGCCGCCCACTGCACCAACGCAGCCAGTGGAGTGACCATCAACTACGGAGCCAGCATCCGCAACCAGCCCCAGTACACCCACTGGGTGGGCAGTGGCGACATCATCCAGCACCACCACTACAACAGCGGCAACCTGCACAACGACATCTCCCTGATCCGCACTCCCCACGTGGACTTCTGGCACCTGGTGAACAAGGTGGAGCTGCCCAGCATGAACGACAGGTACCAGGACTACGCCGGATGGTGGGCCGTGGCCTCCGGATGGGGCACCACCTACGATGGCAGCTCCCTTCCCGACTGGCTCCAGGCCGTCGATGTCCAGATCATGTCCCAGGGCGATTGCAGTCAGTGGTGGTCTCTCCACGAGAACATGATCTGCATCAACACCGCCGGAGGCAAGTCCACCTGCTCAGGCGACTCCGGTGGTCCCCTGGTCACACACGAGGGCAACCGCTTGGTCGGAGTGACCTCCTTCGGCTCCGGAAATGGCTGCCAGTCTGGTGCTCCTGCCGTCTTCAGCCGCGTGACTGGATACCTCGACTGGATCCGCGACAACACCGGCATCTCCTACTAAGAGTTCAGTGTTTTCCACGTTTTGGTGGTTATATTCAATAAAAGTTTTAAATACATAAATAACTATTTTTTTAAATAATTTGTTTTTGGGTCTACCAATACATATCTTTTAAACTATGTTTTCTCCAGCTTGAATTGTTTTCTTACTCTTCTACATAAATTCATAGAGAAGAAATTGATGCGAGACTGAATTTGACAGAAGGCGGGTCAAATCAGTCCACAAACCGAAATCGAGAACAAACTTTAGGTGACAAAAACCCAACAAGGAAGCCTTAAGTAACCCTTAACAAATTTAATTCAAAAAATTTTCCTCCAAAGTTCGAGCAGATAGTGTCTGGGTAATTCTTCATCGGCAATAGAATAATGCTGATTGGAATATGGCAAATGGGTCGGAAGTTATCCTGCTTCATTCCAAAATAGACTTTAAGATTAAGTTCATTGCTGGATTGGCATAAATGACCGAGACGGTAGTACCATTTGTTAAATGGCGCACCAAGGAGTCAAACAAGACTGCGTTGATATTAATTATGGAAAAATGTATGATCACAAATGTAAGGATACAAAACGTTTAATTTGCCAAGCGTTTAATGAAAGAAGACAATACAAATTCAGTCTCAGTTTTATACCACATTTCATTTTATTGGTTATTATTTAATCATTAAATAAAGTCGTAAAAATAAAGATCAAAGAAAGCATTTGTTTTTGGCTCTCAGATAGCTGAAGTTCGTCGACATTTCACACAGTGCTTATTGTTGTTAGCCCAAAACACATACATATGTAAGTAGCATTGCATATACAATTTTTTTATAGCGCTAAATGATAACAGTAAAGTAGTAATCTTGACAGCTGATTATAGCATTCATTCATAAATTGTTGGGAATCCAGAACGTACTATTGAATGAATCAACTTAACTGTTTTCAAATACTATTATTGTTGATTTAATGTAGATTATTTCACCATCTGTTAAGGTCATATATAATAACAATATAATAATTGCACCATTCGCTCAGACAGAGTTTGTTCAAATATACATATGTGTGTTTAGAAAAAAAGGAGTTTTATGTATTTTAAACTTTTATTGAAAATAACCACCAAAACGTGGAAAACACTGAACTCTTAGTAGGAGATGCCGGTGTTGTCTCGGATCCAGTCGAGGTATCCGGTGACGCGGCTGAAGACGGCGGGGTGGCCAGCCTGGCAGCCAGCTCCAGAGACGTAGGAGGTCACTCCGACCAGGCGGTTGCCCTCGTGTGTGACCAGGGGACCACCGGAGTCGCCTCCGCAGGTGGACTTGCCCCCGTCGGTGTTGATGCAGATCATGTTCTCGTGAAGGGACCACCAGCGGCTGCAGTCGCCCTGGGACATGATCTGGACATCGACGGCCTGGAGCCAGTCGGGGAGTGGGCTTCCGTCGTAGGTGCCGCCCCATCCGGAGGCCACGGCCCACCATCCGGCGTAGTCCTGGTACCTGTCGTTCATGCTGGGCAGCTCCACCTTGTTGACCAGGTGCCAGAAGTCCACGTGGGGAGTGCGGATCAGGGAGATGTCGTTGTGCAGGTTGCCGCTGTTGTAGTGGTGGTGCTGGATGATGTCGCCACTGCCCACCCAGTGGGTGTACTGGGGCTGGTTGCGGATGCTGGCTCCGTAGTTGATGGTCACTCCACTGGCTCCGTTGGTGCAGTGGGCGGCGGTCAGAACCCAGGAGTTGCCGATGATCGAGCCACCGCACCACCAGTTTCCGTTGCCGCTGAACAGCAGACCCACGATGTAGGGCACCTTGCCCTCGTAGGCTGGGTAGCCGTTGGTAATGCGCCCTTGGATCTTGGCGTCCTTCACAGGCACAGGGGTCAGCTTCTGATCCTTCTGCTCGGGAGCAGGGATGGCTGTGGCTGCGGCCACGGCCAGAGCCAAAAATACGAACAGCTTCATCTTTTCTAAGTCTGATAACTTGTGATTTTACACCGAAAATGGCCAGCCTTTTAAACTATTTCCTTATCAGCTCTTCGTCGAGTGTCTGTAAGATTTGATGGTAATATATTTGGCCAACTTTCTGGCATGACAAGTTAAGCCGTTTGATAAGACTAAAATTATGGTCTGTTCTTTGCAATTGAAGTGTGACATGTTTGCAGTAAGTTTGCTACACGAACTTACCTAGCCCTTAATACAACAAAAATTACTGATGAGTTGCAATTTTCCATCACTTATTTTTTTCCCATTTCCTGGATTATGCAACGGATTATACGGTAAAAATAAACAATTTAAATAAAATAAAATTAAATAAACAAATAAAAATTAAATAAATAAGCCACAAACTATCAATCTTATAATATAAGTTCATGATCTAAGAAATTTATTATAAAATACTGCACATGGGAAAGAAATAAGATTTTTTAAATGAAACTCGTAAATCCGAACTACTAATAACTAAACAAATGAGCGAACAAAATTGTTAAAATTCGTAACTGTATAAATTGTATTCTGTAAATTTATTAAGAAAATAAGGTATTTATCACTCGTGAGTTTTAGGCCCCTCATCATTTTAATTAACTATAATAAACTGCACTGCTGATTCATGCTAATAAATGCACTTGATTTGCTGAACGTATTAGTCCAGAGCGACCATAAATTAATTATTTTCTGTTTTGATAAGCATTTCCTAATAAAATTTAAGCTAATTGTGGCTTTCTTTCATTATTTTGTATAATTGGATATGATAATCAGCAAAATATTTATTATTAATCCCTAAATCAAGCACCAATAATTATGGCTAACATTTTGTAGCTGCCAGTATAAACCAGAAAAAAACACTATAAGATCCGTTTCATATATAAAATACACACCTAAAATATATATGATAATACATTAGCCATACCCATTGAGTGTACTCCGTTGATAATTCAAGAATTACTATCATTTTTATCAAATAAAATTGAAAGTTCAGTTTAGGTATTAAAATTATTACAAATTTGACAATACGTAGGTATAAATAATAAAATTTAAAAGACCCACTTCCTCCTAGCTTATCAGTCAGCAAAAATTGTCATGCCTCATACTTCGACATAATATACAGCCCGCGATTTTCAGACCCAACAATAGGTCTTAGGACTGATAAGGCCCTAGTTTTCGTATAAAAGGGCGGTCAGCTTCTGGGAAAACCATGAGTTGAAAGACCTAGCCAAGATGAAGCTGTTCGTATTTCTGGCTCTGGTGGCCCTGGCCACTGCCATCCCTGCTCCCGAGCAGAAGGATCAGAAGCTGACCCCCGTGCCTGTGAAGGACGCCAAGATCCAAGGGCGCATCACCAACGGCTACCCAGCCTACGAGGGCAAGGTGCCCTACATCGTGGGTCTGCTGTTCAGCGGCAACGGAAACTGGTGGTGCGGTGGCTCGATCATCGGCAACTCCTGGGTTCTGACCGCCGCCCACTGCACCAACGGAGCCAGTGGAGTGACCATCAACTACGGCGCCAGCATCCGCAACCAGCCCCAGTACACCCACTGGGTGGGCAGTGGCGACATCATCCAGCACCACCACTACAACAGCGGCAACCTGCACAACGACATCTCCCTGATCCGCACTCCCCACGTGGACTTCTGGCACCTGGTCAACAAGGTGGAGCTGCCCAGCATGAACGACAGGTACCAGGACTACGCTGGATGGTGGGCCGTGGCCTCCGGATGGGGCGGCACCTACGACGGAAGCCCACTCCCCGACTGGCTCCAGGCCGTCGATGTCCAGATCATGTCCCAGGGCGACTGCAGCCGCTGGTGGTCCCTTCACGAGAACATGATCTGCATCAACACCGACGGGGGCAAGTCCACCTGCGGAGGCGACTCCGGTGGTCCCCTGGTCACACACGAGGGCAACCGCCTGGTCGGAGTGACCTCCTACGTCTCTGGAGCTGGCTGCCAGGCTGGCCACCCCGCCGTCTTCAGCCGCGTCACCGGATACCTCGACTGGATCCGAGACAACACCGGCATCTCCTACTAAGTGTGCCATCAAATAAAGTGTTTAAATTTCAATAAAAATTACGAATCACATTAATATAGATTCAATAAATACTACCTGTTATAAAATAATTCCTGTTATGAATTTATCATCTGCTCACGTCTAAAATTTTTGGGGCAAGAGAGGGAGAAATTTAGAGAACGAACGAACTGTTTATTTAGCAACATTTGTGTGTGGCTTTCTGTGACACCTTTGTTTGCACAGCGTTTTTGTCTGGATACGTGACAGTTTCCAAATGGAATATCGTTCTATTTGGGCCAATCCCATTTAGACGGGAAGTTACCTTTGCCCCGAGCAGTACCCATCAATCAGTAGCTCCCAGTTTTCTGTTCACAATGTCGCATCGAAGTTGGTGCTTGGTTTTTGGGATTATACTGCAGGTGTTTTTAAGTGGAGCAGCCAAAGGTGAGTTTTACTCATCGGTGGACAGTATGCAGGATCTAGCACAAGTGGAACAGGAGCTCCTAAATGCCACGCGTTCGTATTTGGAGACCCAGCAACAGCAGCTTGACTTTTATCGCAGGTAATACAATTTAATATCAAAGTATATAAATATCAAAAATCTAATTCAAATATTTCGTAGATATGTGGAGCAAATAAAGCGAGAACATGAATGGGCCACTGCCCAATTAAAGCTGGATGAGTATCTAGGTCACCCATTGCACGCTTTCAGGTTGATCAAACGGTTGGTTCAGGATTGGGATGCAATTATCTTTGAACCCATTCTCACGAACAAGCCCAGAGAGGGTAGGTCATATGAATTCCTGAAAAGAATATTTCATAAATATCAACTTTTCCCAGACTTTCGGCAGTTTATAGAGATTCTAACAAGGGATTTGGGCTACCCCGATCAATCGGAGCTGCAAGGAGTCATCAAAGGTTTGGCCAGGTTGCAGAGGGTATATAATCTCACGACCACGGATTTAGCTGATGGCATTATAAATGACTTACACTACGACTCGGAGTTAGAATGGCGTGAGTGTTACGAAATAGGTGTACAACTATTCGATCTTGGGGAATACCAAAGGTCCCTCGAATGGCTTCAAGCTGCATATGAACTTCTCCGAAATGCTATAGCTGAGAACAATGACAAGATTCAGTACTTATCAGATATTAGGGAGTATGCAGCCATGGCCAACTTTGAGTTGGGTAATCCCAAAAGAGCTGGAAGACTTCTGAACCAGATCCTTGACCCTGAACCCACCCATTCCGCCCAGCAAACTCGCAAGTATTTTGAGAACAGAGAGCCAGGAAAGAATATCGCGGAAAAGAATCCTTCTTGGTTTGCCAATTATACGAGGCTTTGCCAGGGGAAAAGATTACCAGAAGAGAGTAGTGGTAGCCCCTTAAAATGTTATCTGGATGGAAAGCGACATGCCTACTTCACCTTGGCGCCTCTGCAAGTGGAACCGGTCCACCTCGATCCGGACATCAATGTCTACCACGGAATGCTGAACTCCAAACAGATCTATTCGATCTTCGTGGAGGCGGACAAAGAAGAGATGGTTCGATCAGCGGTATCTGGAGAAGGTGGAAAACGCACTGTGAGGGATCTCCGGGTTAGTCAGCAAACCTGGCTGAACTATGAATCACCCGTAATGAAGTCTGTGAGCCGTATCATTCAGTTTGTGTCGGGATTCGATATGGCCGGAGCCGAGTACATGCAGGTGGCCAACTACGGAGTTGGTGGCCAGTACGAACCGCATCCGGACTACTTTGAGGTCAATCTGCCCGAAAACTTCAAGGGAGATCGCATCTCCACCAGCATGTTTTATGTATGTTATTGTCTAGATTTATATGCCGAAATCTCTACATATATTGTTTATCTTAGCTATCTGATGTGGAAGAAGGGGGCTATACTGTATTCACCAATCTGAATGTTTTTCTGCCTCCTGTTAAGGGAGCCATGGTCATGTGGCACAACCTTCATCGATCCCTGGATGTGGATGTGCGCACCTTGCACGCCGGCTGTCCAGTAATAGTGGGTTCCAAGCGAAGTAAGTACAATTTGGAAACAAGAAAAGTCATTTTATTTAAATGCATCTAAACTCTTGTTGTGTATCACTTTGTGTTCTTATTACAGTTGGAAACATTTGGATGCACTCGGGTTACCAGGAGTTCCGACGACCCTGCAACCTCACCTCAGATAGCTACAAGTCCTTAGCTTATCGGGATTCAGTGTAAATTAATAAATTAATATCTTACTTTAATGAGTGTTGTGTTGGTTTCTTATTTTATGTGCACTAGTTAAAGTCCCTGTAATGCAATGAAATTTCGTGGTTCTGCTGGAGATCGCAGGGTCTCACTTGATCCTGATGGCGTTCTCGAACCCAGACATTGGCGACTGTAAATAAAAAATCATTTAAAATAGGTTTATTTTAACAGCAAGGTTAACTTACTCCACTTGCTGCCCTGAAGTACAGGACAAGCGGCATGCTTGGTTCGGAAATCCTGGTCTCCAGAAGGATGAAGATTGTACCAGAAGAGCAGACTTCCTCGTTCAGGGGTCACCAACAGGGGCAGAAAGGGAAATGCGGTACCGCCACCGGCTTCAACATCGGAGAGCTGGAATAAACAGAACAGGGCATTACAAGATAGAAATATTTCTAAGGAAAAGTCAAAGCTTAACCACTTTAATAGGAAACTCACATAATATATGCCAGTGGCAATTCGATTGCCATTTATATCCCCCTCTTGGTATATGTGGTTTTCCGGAAAACTGTCCCAGTGGGGCTCATAGTGCCCTCCAATGCCATAGTTAGCCACCTGCAGATCTTCGGCGTAGTCCATTTGCAGACCAGAGAAGTCACCTACATGCTGACTAAGAAGTTTGGTGGCTGCATTCCTGGAGTAATTGAAGGAGGCACCTTGACTGGTGCGGAAAGCGGCTGCGGTGGATGCCCCACTTCCACTCAGAGAATATACAGTGGATCTCTTAATCCTGGGTCTGGCAGTCTTTTGCAGAAATTCCGAATCCTTGGAGCTAATCACGTTATGCAGCTGCACCACCGGCGGATCCAAGTGGAGTTCCTCCAACTTAAAAGGAGCATAGCCAAAGCGACTTTTCCTCAGACGACAACGGAGATTTCGCTGCTCGGAAGGAAGAGGAGCCAACTCCCCACGACAAACCTGTTCGTACATACGAAACTCCCGGGATTCATGGTAGTCCCCAGGTCTTCGTGCTGTCATGTGTAGCAACCCGTTCTTATCTCCATCGGTGATTAGCTCCTCCAAATGTTGACGAGCCTCCAGGAGGTGACTCCTTTGCTCTGGCTCAATGGATAGCACGTGGTTCACCAGAGTCAAAGCACTCTCGTGGGCACCCATCTCCCGGTGATAGTCCACCACCGCCTCCATAAAGTCCAGGGACGCGGATTCCGTTCCGTAGGACTGCTCACCGAGCAACTGCATCGACTGCTGCAACCATGGCACCGTGTGATTGTAATCCCTCAAGGCGTACAAGTGCTGGCCGAGAACAAAGCAGTCCTGCCAGGACATGGCCGTACTGAAAAGGAAATGCTGTTTTAACCAGGAATTGATTTGAGCATGCGTATTGATTTTGATCATATTGTATTGTTTAATTAAAAGTTAAGCTAGAAACTTTGATACAAAACTATCTTTACGCTTTGAAACGTAGTGCTTATTCATTGACGATTATAAGAACTCCAAATAAGTCTGTTAAACAATGGTAATAATAATTTAAAAATATTACACAAAAATTAAATATTGTCCCTTAAATTATCAAAAAACAGCAAATCTAGGCCCATAATTTTTCATACAGACATCCGATTTCAAAGTGGCATACTTTAAAATGTTTGTGGGTTGATTCTCTAAAAATCTGTGTTCAACGATTTTTTTGTATTTTGGGGTCGATTTTTCATTTCAATTTTCGGAAAGCCCAAGCAAAACCATCGGCCAAACCACAGACATCCGATTTCAAAGTGGCATACTTTAAAATGTTTGTGGGTTGATTCTCTAAAAATCTGTGTTCAACGATTTTTTTGTATTTTGGGGTCGATTTCGTCATTTTGACAATGTAACCCCTTTCCAATTTTTCGGAAAATGGCCTAGCAGAAAAGTGTCCAAAAACTGCAGTTCTAGGCCCATAACTTTTCTTACAGACATCCGATTTTAAAGAGGCATACTTTAAAATGTTTGTGGGTTGATTCTCTAAAAATCTGTGTTCAACGATTTTTTTGTATTTTGGGGTCGATTTTTCGTCATTTTGACAACCCCTTTCCAAATTTTCGGAAAATGGCCTTGCAGAAAAGTGTCCAAGAACTGCAGTTCTGGGCCCATAACTTTTCTTACAGACATCCGATTTTAAAGTGGCATACTTTAAAATGTTTGTGGGTTGATTCTCTAAAAATCTGTGTTCAAACATTTGTTTGTATTTTGGGGTCGATTTTTCGTCATTTTGACAATTAACACCTTTCCAAATTTTCGGAAAATGGCCTTGCAGAAAAGTGTCCCAGAACTGCAGTTCTAGGCCCATAACTTTTCTTAGATACATCCGATTTCAAAGTGGCATACTTCAAAATGATTGTAGTTTGATTCTCTAAACATCTGTGTTCAGAGATTTGTTTGTATTTTGGGGTCGATTTTTCGTTATATGTATATATTGTCGAAAAATGGCTCTACAGAAAAGTGTCCAAAAAACGGGACTTCTAAAACTGCACGCATAACTTTTCTTAAGAAACTCCGTTTAAAAATGGGATGACATAAGAACGATCGATATATGTATTGGAAAATCAAATTAAAATATATAGAATATTTATTTTTTATAACACCTGCAAGGGTATAAACATTTCGGCATGCCGAAGTTTTCTTCCTTTCTTGTTTGCAATGCGTTTAAATTAAAAAACTTTTTGGGGCCATTTCCTTTCCCACTTTTGGTTGTGTTTACAAACATTTTGCAGTCTTAAATTCACATAAAAAGTTTGCACCAGGAAGAGGAAAAGATAATTGCTGCTTTGTTATGATGTGAAATCAAGTTAAGCTCACAAACAGTTTTTAAAATCACAGTGCTGACAATTAACTTGAATTAACGTGTGTTCAGCGTAGTACTGCATTTTATTATTGTCAAAATTTAAAGCTATGCTTTGGGAAGAAACATTACTTTAAAATGGATTGAGTTATATATTAAATAAAAGTGTTTTGAAATACTTAAAAGTTCCATTATCTTTCATTCCTTACCCGTATTTAACGCCATTTAGAATTCCACTGGCCAATTCGGCCACATCCAGTTGGTAGGTCTGCTGAAGTCGAGTTAACGCAATTGCTGATCCCACGAAGTCGTCCTGCGAAGGATAGCTCAGATTCTCCTTATGTCTGGCCATGGCTTCGAGATAGTCTGCAAAGATATTGGTTCATATTTGTATCCAATGAATTAAGATTCGAATAATAACTAACTTGAGCGACTCGAATCTGTCGTAACGCTGCCCTCGAAAGTTTCCCAATCGCTGTGGAGGCGTTTAATCAACCGGAATGCGTTCACCGGATTGTTGAGGTAGTCATCGATGCCCTCGGCGGCATTCAGGTGTTCCAAGCGGATAGCATCTATCTCACTGAGGTCATAAGCAAAGTAATCATTAATCAGACTCATAACTAAGGGAATTTGCATAAATTAAGTTATTTTCTCTGATCAAACAAAAACTAAATATTCTCCAGTCTTTATACACTGTTAAAATGGAATGCAGACAAGAAATTGCAATTAATTGGTTATTTTAGGGGACAAATTATAACTCAAAGTGAAATTGAAATAACAATTTTAACATAAGTTAATGAGGAGGTGAAGAAACACATTTTTCGAACGAGAAGTCGTCTAATTAATAAGATCAGAAGCCAGGTAACATAACCATTTACACTGATCAAAATAAGTTATAATTTTTATGTCATTAATCACTGTGTCTTTTAAAGATAGGCTTTTAATTTTTGAATTACCTATTTATTTCGATTGTTTGTATTTTATAATATAAAAAATTTTATGAATTTTTAATTATGGTTGATATTTTCCAACTTAATTCCATTTTTCCACAGTGTTGATACAATAAAGCACCTGCTGATTAAAAACATTTTTCAGAATTATGCTGCAAAAAATGGTTTAAATATATTCAGCAGTACCCAAACATATATATGCGCACAGGTTTATCGGTGGGTTACCTGTTTTGTATAATTAACGCATTTATTTTCACGCCTGTCGCCTGCAGTGTGGCTCATTTATAAGTCATTAAGTTGGGAGCGTAACCATAATCTAAATCTAGAAGCGAGATTCAACTAATTTGAGTTCAAGTCTTTTGTTGGTAACGTTATTGTGTTGATGATTAAGTGGTGGCACTTGTACCCAATAAATCTGTTTTATTTCATTTTCAAGGGGACGACTTGCACAATGACTAAGCCAAAGAAATTCAATTGTTTTTTACACGATTTTGAAAATAAAAATACCAGTTCTTTCCGACGTCTGATTCAGGTGTGTATAAATATTATACTTTACAATTTGTTAACGGTTTCTTATTAGAAAGAAAGGAATCCGGTTTGCAAAATGCGCATGATAAACAAAATAACCGCACACTATGCTGTATAATATGCATATCTGAGGCGATGATTGCACCATATTTTAAGATTCTAAATCTGTCAAGTCGATGACACTTATTTCTAAACAACAAAATAAACTAGCGGCAATTGTTTCTTAGATCCGGCGATCGGTATCGGCGCTGGTAGCAATCGATTTGGTCGCAGATAATTAAATGCAAGGCATCCAAATGCTAACGAAAGTTGTTGGCCTGCGTTTTGTGCTTTATATGAGCCATTAATTAGTATTATAACCGGCGGAAATAAATCAAACCAAGAAATCGGAGAAATTAGCGGTCCATAAAATAAATAGCTCCCAGCGCAACTAAACAAATAGCATCGGTTAGGGAATTAACAAATCTCCATTTGGCGACAAATCGCTGGGCTGCCATTCACTTTTATGACAACCGGTCGGATGAGAAGACAATAATCTGCATAATTGTAATATAACTAAGTGAAGCCAACCAGAATTTAATATCTCATTGGACCATCTCTCCCACACCCGACATCAATTAGCCAAAAAGCAAACCAACAGTTGAAAATCTGCCCACCCGAGTTCGTTATTAATTTTCAATCTACGTGGGCAGCTTCCAATCCACGCATATGAATGAAAAATTCATTATCGGATGCCCACTGACATCTGTCAATTGATTTTCCCATTATTGTTTCACTGGTTGTGACAGTCGGAAAAATCATATGCCTGGGAAATTCATAGGCTCTGCGAATTACAATTGGCTTGTGTGCAAAATGAGTATCTCATTTGCATCTGATTAAAACTAACCATCTGGTATAAGCCAAAAGCAGCATGGATTAATAGGCTCGGCTAGAACCTGAAAAACTTTCCATTTTAATCTGGGTTTTTGGTAGCTTGTCACCAGGGGAAGAATGTCCACTACCACTTAAAATTCTTTATATCAGTTCATTCCACTCTACGATAAAATTTACATATATTTAATTGGAGTTATATTAGCATTGTTGTGATTCTGTTCATATTTTCTTCTGAATGACTGTGTGACTTGCTTGTTTTTGACAGCTTGAATTTTGGCTTATACAATTTTGTTCTTTTGCACTAATGCAGATAGTGCAGAATAAAATAATAGCTATATTACTGTAGAATACCATTGTATATACAAAAAGATTTGACTTTATATTTCTTTATAAAAACAGTTTGACCCAGCACTGGTTTTAAAATTTTTTTGTGTAAGCAAACTTACAAATACTTAAATAATTTCACAATTTGTATTTTATCTAAGATGATTGACTCAAATTTCTATCACTTTTACCTCTGCAGCGCCTCAGCATGTTGGTTAATTTCATTCACATATTGCTGCAGTTCTGCCAGAAGAACAACCTCCGTTTCGAACAGTTTTTCCAGACCAGAGGTGGAACTGAAGAACTCGCCATGGCAGGTTAAGATTTGAAGCACAAAAAAAAGGACACACTTGGCCACAAACATCTCACTTAACCGAAAACGTTACCGGCTTTCAAGATTGCGGATTCCGGATTGCGGTTTTAGCTTGTTGTTCCAGCCGCGATTCGTTATAAACTGTTTTCAGTCGGCGGCAAAAGCGACGATCTTTGGATGATCTGATGAAAAAAAGCTCGGGGCGTTTGCGGCTGCGCGATACTGCGGGTGTTGATCGAGCAGTTCCAGCTATAGAATCGAATGGAACGGAATCTCCGGTCAAAGAACTGCCCGCGGGGGACCAAGTTCTGCTTGAATAGGCCCCATAAAGTAAAGTGGGTACTCAGCGAAGTTCAATAAACTGAATAGAGTATGAACATTTACATGACACAGAAGTTATGGCAATTGTTCCTGGAATCATAATTCAATGTTAAACAAGTCCAACCAACTTTCCCAGCCGACAGATGGAATTTTTCCCCACTAATTACTTTCACTTTGCTGCTCGCAGCAGTTGTCACTTCACAAGCCCAAATATTCAAATCTCCCACTGAAACTTTGCCCGTGAACTTGTTTATGCAAATGAAGCCGGCAAATGAATACGCAACTGGCTTTTGCTTTTGGCTCATCTTAAAGCTGGCCCGCTTCGTTTGTTTTGAGTGACTCTGCAAAGCACTCAAACCTCTTAACCCACTGAGCCCGTTTGTGGCAGAAAAGAGACACAGTAATGGCAACTTGACTATCACAATCTTTATTTGATTATATCGTAGCCCAGCGAAACCTCGTGATCCCGGAAAACATCGCAGGGGCGGGCAAAGGTCTGCGTCACCTCGTGTATCCAAACGTTGCCAACTGCAAAGATCAAGCCGAAAATAATTATATTAATTGCAGAGGTTAACTCGAGAGCAGGTGGAGATGGCTGATGGCTTAATTTACGCGCATTAAATTAAATTAACAGTCATTTTGGTATACTTGCTGAGCTTTAAACAGTTTGGTAACGAGGTAAGCCATTCAATTGTCTTTAAAAAAGACAGACATTTATCTCTAGTTTAAATATCTATTTAAGAGGGTAGCAGCATTTGAAATATTATAAGTCAAGCAAATTTTAAATATAATTTCTGAGTCGTAAGACAAGAAATTAGTATAAATTCATGTGTAACTATTTGGTAAATTGCTATTAGTTAGCTCAACTTTTCTTACATTTCAAACTTTTGGGATAAATTACATTCTGGGAAATTTATGATTTTCTTTTGAATATCAAAATCAAATAAAATGTTATAATATCGATAAAATAATTAGCAGAGAAACTTAGCTATGTATGACAACAGTAAATACAAAGTAATCCCTTCCTAATCCCCACTTGGATATTACTTACTCCACTTGCTGCCCTTGAGCACTGGACATCCGGCATGCTTGGTGCGGTAGTCCATGTCCAGGGAGCGATGCAGATTGTACCAAAAAAGGACATTGCCCAGCTGGGGCTTAACGACGATGTCTAGGAAGGGGAAAGCGGTGGCACCGCCCTGTTCGACATCGGAAAGCTGCGTGGGAAAGATAATTACTTCTACTAAATCATACAAGGGATTAGGAAAATGTCAACTCACGTAAAAAATGGCAGTGGCAATGCGGTTGCCTTCCTCCGCAGGATAATGACTGGGGTCCCGGAAAAAGTCCCAATGCGGTTCGTAGTGCCCTCCCACGCCGTAGTTGGCCACTTGCAGCTGCTCACAGAAGGTGGTATCGAGTCCTGTGGCATCTTTCAGATCCTGGAGCATTCCCACCATCGTCGGATGAGACTCGTACTCCAGCCAGGCATTTTTGCTCACCCTAAAGGAAGACTTTTTGTTCTGTCCTCCGGGTAGGGAATTCACTGTAGAGCGACGCATCCTCGGCACAGCCATTTCCCGAAGGTGGGCAATCTTTTGGGGATTCAGCATGTCGTGGAAGGTCACCACATAGGGATCCAGGCTGTGCTCCTCCAGCTTGAGTGGCACCAGAAGGCGGTACGGATGATGTCCTTGGCTATAGCGACAGCGCAATTCCTGGCGGGGAGTGGGATTGACCTCCCCGCGACACACCTTTTCATACTGGGCGAACTCCTCCGATAGCTGAGGAAAAAGATTCCAAAATTAGTTGTATTTCTCACATGAAAAATATATATCATTCCTTTCCTTGTTTCCTTTACTTTGTATTAGTTTCTAAGATGTATTAAACATTTTCCTATTACTTTTATTCATTATTTCGCCAGGGTAAGGATTAGATATCTTCAAACTAAAATTGATTAGATAATCTATTTTGAAAGTGCACTGATATAGTTAAAAACCGTATCGGACTAGAGTGGAAGAACATATCTTATAACTGTCTTAGAAAAGGAGCAAAATTCGAATAGCTCCAGTTTAAGACTGCCTAAGCTCACCTATATTAATTTAAACCGTTGTTGCCCAAAAAAGCAAATCTAGGAAATGGGATTGTGTTTGTGATCCTTTTATTTTTGTTTTATATGCTTTGAAATGTTTCTCTCTTTTTTTATGCGTCTGTGTGAATTATTAAATTGGAACCGAAGCTACCTCAGCCACAAGTGGGCATGTATGGTTTAAATATTTGAATACTTACGTTATATGAATCCGAGTGCTTAGGTAGACCAACGTCATCGTTTTCCACTGGAGGGGCAGCTCCCTTGTCGCCCAGGTGCCAATTTCTGATGCGTTTTGGATCGAATTGGAGCACCCGTTGGCTCAGTTCGTAAGCCGTATCAAAGTCGCCTGAAAATGGTACGAATGAGTGTCCTCAAAGTTGGCCAATAGCTTAAATTCCCCCACAAGTTTTTTGCTCACCCAATTGGAACAAACTCTTGGCCGTCGCCTCCATTTTGTTGAGGGTAACGGTATCCGGTCCGCTGGTGGGCGGCGAGTGGGCGTGGGCATGGGCGGAGCTGCTGTGACGTCGCAAGCGTTCCATCGACTCCCGCAACCAGACCTTGGTGTTGTTGTAGTCCTCCATTTCAAAGAGTTGTTGACCCAGCTCGAAGCAATCCTGCCAGCTCATGTCCGAACTAAAAATAGAAGCTGCAAATGTTATAATAGATTTTTTCGAATGTGATATACCCTTAAGTATGCTTATATTCATTTGAATTTGTTACCCTATTTCCGAGTGTAAGATAAAATATAAGCTGAAAATGTTATAATAGATTTTTTCGAATGTGAAATACTCTTAAGTATGAATATAATTATTAACAAAATCGAGTGTAGGATAAGATTAAGTTATCGATTTTTAGACAGTTAATTAATTAAAATTCATGTAGGTCTAACAATTTTTCATTGAAATGTAGGGGGCTTTACAGATTTATATGCTGAAATTAAAAATTCCAATGACGCATGAAGAGTCGATTTTATTCAGAAGTGATTATAATCAGGAAACTGCTAATGTTGAATATTTTGGAGTTATATTTCACATGCCTAGTTTATGTTATTTGGAAGTTGATTTATTAGAACCGATTTAAGAATTAGGCCTTCCTCAGTTAAGAGTGGTCGAAAATTGGTATACATTCGTCTTGAATATACAATTTGATTTTAATCCGACGATGCATTCCTATTAGATAAATAAATAAGCTTTTCACTGCTTAAAATAATAAAAAATCGATTCTGAATAGGTTTAATTTCCTAATGTATTGAAATAAAACATGTTCCACAACTGATACATATGTAACATGTTTGGCCTGCTAGTCAGTATACTTCTCAAAGCACCGATTATAGTGGCTTTGATTGGGGTTAAGTAAGAAGGGCTCCCCTCACGTTTGCCCTGGGATTCGATGGGATAGGTCTGTATTTTAAGCCTGGCTGGTTATTGCTTATTCGCTTCCGCCATCCAACCCACTTTGAGGACTCACCCGTATTTGACGCCATTCAGGATGCCGGCGGCCACCTGGGCCACGTCCAATTTGTAGGTGCTCTGCAGGCGGACGAGGGCCAGAGCTGCGCCCTCCACGTCCTCCTGGCTGGGAAAGCTCAGTCCGTACTCCCTGGTTGCATTGAAATCTGCCAAAGGAAAATCGTTATAATTAACTTTCTTTTAAAGGGCCAGTGCCCAACTCACTCATGTCCTCAGCCATCAGCTGAACTCGACCCTCCATCAGAGACCAGTCCGTGTGGAGTCGCTTCATCAGGCGGTACACATTCACCGGATTGGTCAGGTAGTTCTCCGAATCCGTCGCCGCTATAGAGTGCTCCTTTTCGATAGAGGACAGCTCGCTGCGGATTGAACGAGTTTCGGATTAGATTTGCCTACCAGTTTATCCGATTTATGAGTCTTGTGTCGTCATAGGAGCTGACTTTGCAAGCTCATACTCGTATTTCGCCTTAATTAATTCTAATTTATGTGTGATTCTATATTCATAATAGTTTTTATGATCGTTGCGATAACAAAAACGAGGCGAAATGAAATAAAACGAAAGCAAAATGCCAAAAACAAAACCGAAACCTGATAACCAATATTTGCTGATCTGCCCAACTGTCAATAATGATCCGTGATATCCGTGGCTAATACTCGATGCTTATAACTACTCTAGATTAGTGACAGGTGGGGATTAATGATAATGCCAATTCGAGATCACTGGCACGACAATCTTCGCACTCATAAAGCAGACACAAAGTCTGGCACCTCGTGTGTCGGCGATTCTCTGTAAACTAGTTCTCGAAAGGGGCAGTAAAACTTTAATGGATCTGCTAACGACAATAGGCTGAAAATTAAATTAGCATTGTTTCAAATATCGTGATAAAGCTAAAAACTATTCTTGGTAACCTATGGTTTAAGATTCGACTTTAAAGTATCCTTTAATATTAACTGTATTGCATATACAAATTATCTAATACCTTTTTGTGCAATACACCAACATTTTATGGAAAGTATCCTGAGACTTAACTGACTTTCAGGTATTATTAGTCGTTTATTAAAATGTTTGCTAACTGGTTAATTAGTCCTATTCATCTGAAAACGTGACTTAACACAATGAATACGGGTTAACAACAATTTATGGTTAAGATATTTTATATTCTAGAAATCTTTTTAATATGGCCTTAGAGGAATTGCCTTAATACACCTTAAGTAAATAAAGGAGCCAATAAAAACCTTGTCTAAGGTTTCATTATTAATTTCCTTTACCCTTCTGCATTTAACTATACTTTAACTTACCCCTCTAATTGTTGCAGAGAAATCCTAATTCCATTGACCTTGGACCTTAGTTCCTTTGTGAGATAGTCCTCCGTATGCAGAAGTTCCTCAAGACCAGTAACAGATGAAAAGTAGTCCGAGGCCAGAGATTCCTGACCCAGAAAGGACATCAGTCCTATCAGTAGAACATATTTCCACATTGCACCTCCTCAGATGTGTATTATTTGAGTTAAAAATCCTTGCTATATCCAGTGTTATTAAAGTGAATATCCTTGCTGTATCCAGTCTTATTTAGGTAAAAATCCGTGTATATCCAGTGTTATTTAAGTAAATATCCTTGCTATATCCAGTGTTATTGAAATAAAATATTATATATATGTAGTATTCCCTTGCGAACCTTCAAGTCCGCCACCGTTCGCGTCTCGTGGCGAACTGATCTTGAGGTGGATCTTTGAGAGATCTCGCTTTTGAGACATCCCCATGATGCGGAGAGCAAACCGGCGGCGAGAATTAATTCGCGTGTGCGAAGTCGAAAACTAGTTGCGGTGGCCTATGATTTGAAGAAAACTGTTTTATTAGCCAGTTCTGTGCATGTTCCGATGCGGAGAGGAGCGTACGGGTTTTTGCGGCCCGGCGTGTTTTATGGCTTGTTTTGCGCTGATTTACTGATGCTTATCGGCCGAGCTCGTTTCAAATTCTAAATTCGATTCGGGGCTCAGATCGGATTTAGCTATTGTCTTTAGCTCAAGATTAGACCAGCCCGGCATATTAATACGGTCTAATTGGCCGTTAGCTGTTTGATATTTAAGACTGCAGTTCGACCATTTAGCAGTTTTGGCTAGGGCCGCGTCTCTTTATGCCCAATTAACATTTCACATCCGACCGGTGCGACATTTCATATTGGCTTATTGGTTTATTGTCTTAATGGCTTACGGACTATTGACTATTGTTTATGGATTCCCCTGGGGCCGTCAATTTGGAGCAATGATTTGTTAATGAGCTGACCACCATAACTCACACTGTTTTGATTCGAAATCTCTGCTGATTTATCAACTTCAGAGGCGGCACACACTTGTTTTATGGCCCAGTGTTTGACTCGCGAGTTTCCTCTTAATGGCAAACAAACAAACAAACCGCGGATGGGTCGCATTTATGGAACGAGATGAAGCCTCCCAGTTTGGCCGTTGTTTGCTCGGCCCATTCACACCGGCCACTCCCAATGGGAAATAACGCAATAAAAGGCTGTTTTAATCAAATGCCAAGGTCAACTTTATTTGAATCCCCCATTGGCAATTAAAGCTTTTGAATGTAGCACGGATCGGGAAAACCATGGAAACTCATCAGTTTCACCGTTCATGTCAATTGAGTCCTGTCCACGCAGCTGCATGCGAAATTGAAATGAATAAGAATGGAAATTAGCTAAGAGATAGTGGTAGTCGAACATGTGATACCCTATACTAAGGTAAACATAAATTATTTTAAGGTTTTCTAAACAAATTTGTTGGACACGCTAGTAATAAATATATTAAAATATTTAAAGGCAGATACGTTTTTTAAATGGCTTTGTTATTCTGTGGATTATGTAATTGACTAATGACTAATCAAAGTAAATAAAAGTAAGTAAGTTTGGGGTATAGGATTTAAAAAGCTCATAGGAGTAATTTTAAAATTAATATTTTAGTTCTGTGAAATCTATTAGAATTTGATTAACATCAGCAATGTTCGACTTTTTTACAGGGTATCTCACGCACGTGCGACTGACAATGTAATGAAAGCGTTTGGGGATGCCGGAAGTGCGACTGGGCCGCAAACTGAATCCCGACACGCTCCACCCACGGCCAAACTTACACAATTGGACGCCCAGGAGCACGGGACAAACGGCCTGGCCACTGCGGTAGTCCCACTCGGACGAAGAGCCTCCGGCGGAGCGCGTGTGCCAGTGGAGCAGCGAACCTCGGGGGACATTCACGGCGAGCTCAAGCTGCGGAAAAACCACGGCCCCACCGATTCCGGGTGACTGCAACTAAACCGCGGTGATGGACCGGAATTTAATTAGTCACACATTAGTCAATTAATTTGGGGTTGTTGGTTAACCACGTACACTGAGCATGGCACGTGCCACATGTTTAAGTTCCGAATTATCCTCCAATTTGGTGGTGTGCTCGTGGCCATGACGACGTGCCATCCATGGATCCTGGTCCCCAGCCTCGTAACCCAGGAGATGGTGAATCCTCCTCAACTTCTTTTGCGCCATTTTGGATAACTTCATTGGTTGATAGGTAACTCCTTTCGAACCCTCCTCCTCATCTATAAGTTCCAGCAACTCATCGGTTTGCTTTGGAGTCAGAACATCGTGATGCAGTTCTAAATATGGGTCTGCGCTTAGTAACTCCAATCTAGCAGGTTGAAGGATGAACCAGGGGGCACTGCCGTCTAATTGACACTGGTCGAAACGACTTCCTGTAGTAGTTTCATGGGTCGCATCGCGGCAGAGCTCCTCTATGAGCCGCTCCTCCGTGGATTTGGATTTCTTGGGGGAAAAGAAAAAATGTAGAATGATGTATTCAAATTTGTATACTAGCTGTTTCCATAAAGATTTTTGTATAGTATATAAATGGGAATGGCATTATTAACAGATTTTCAACAACAAATCTTTTTCTAGTGCTAAGAGAAAATATAAAATTGCTTAATCCCTTTTAAATGTTTCTATAAATTATATCCTAGCTTCGCACTCACAAATCATTTCATTAATTTCACTTATTCGTTGAAATGCCACTACCTCCGGCTTGGAATGTTTCCCATTTCTCCGACTTATCAGCTTACCCTGAAACTTCATCCGCCACTTACTTGTGTCTTTGTCTTCGACTTTTGGCCCTTGGCCTTGGGCAATTCCTTTTTGGCCAAGGCTTTTTCAATCTTTTTCTTGGCCTTTTGAAGGTTCTGGTTCATTGGCAGCAACAACAGAAGCTCGTCGACAGTTGCCAAGGCTCGTGAAAGTTCCCCTGCAAAAAAAGATGGTTTTATTTTAGGGGACTGGGGGATTCGTATTGTATTTAATACCAAGCGAACCTACCAGCGCGGTATTCAATGTTGAGTGTTGCCTCTAGGATTTGCACTCGACCACTTTCACGTTCCCTGTGTGATTCTGTGGAGTTTTCGGAGGCAGAGGGCAGCTTTTCCAAAGCTGTTTCTAACCAAAATCTAGCCACGGAAAAGTCCGACTTGCGAGCCACTTCCAGGCAGTCGCCCCAGGACATGGCAGAGCTAAAAGTATGTAAACAATTTTTGATTGCTTTGGTTTCCCATTTTGCTATTTTTCATTCTTTGCTTTTTGGATTCCTTACCCCAACTTCCATCCATTGACGACGCCCAACGAAAGGCTGGCGGGTTCCAGGTCGTAGACCGACTGGAGATGTAGCAGGTGGCTGAGGGATTCCTCGTAGTCCTCTTCGGTGGGCAAGATTAAGTCACTATCTAAGAAACCCTCTCCCGAATTCAACTGATGAGTAGCATTAGCATGCTGTTCCAAAGTTGGCCACACACTATCGAATCGCTTTAGGATAGTTAGCACATTAAGGGGATTACCCATGTAGTCCTCCACATTATCCACCTGACTGTGTATCTCCTCGATGGCAGAGGTCTCCCTCTGGATCTCCTCCAGTTGAAGCTCCAAGCGATCGATATAGTCACGCAACTGATCGATGAGCTGTGTTTCGGTGTCCAGAAGAGCCTCCAGTTGCTCCTCTCCCCTGGCGAAACTAGCTCCATCCAACGAGCCCATCAGCAGAAACAGCTGAAGTAGCCACAAAACACCAACAGCCACCGGCATTTGCATAATTAGATGTCTCCGGTGGTTTTTTAGTCTTTTCGTTCTTCACTTTGCTCTTGGCCCTCGGGTCAATGACTATAGACTTTTTCTAATTATGTGATTGAAGTTCGAAGAGAACGGAGAATTTACGACTGACCGGCTTGAATCGTGTGGCTGAACTGAGGCCAAGGCCTCTTTTCTCATTAAGCTTAAGAAAGTGGTGAGTTTAGTTTTTAGTCATTTTATTAAATGTTGTGTCTGTATGTAACTAATGTGGTGAATTACACAAATCAGTATATATTTTAAATGACTTTTTAATAAACAGCATATTTATTTACTTAATATAAGACTCATTTGTGCTCCAAGTCCAGAAACTTTCCTTCATCGCTTTTAAGTCCACAGGGTCGCCTAAACTCCTGGGCACCCACATGAAACCACTCATTGCATACTAAAATAAATGATATATAATGCCATAAAATAAAATATAGTATAAAATATTTTGAAGGCTAGCAGTAAACTTACTCCACTTGGATCCCTTGAGAACAGGACAACCGGCATGCTTTGTTCTAAAGTCCTTGTGCATGGAGCGATGTAGATTGTACCAGATCAGGAGACTGCCTTTCACAGGGGGAACCGCCAGGCGAAGGTATGGGAAGGCGGTGGCTCCTCCTAGAGAAACATCATTCAGCTGGAAAAATAAATTATGAATAATGATTTTCCATGTCTTTCTTTTTAGCTCATAGAAATACGAATTATTTTTGTATCTAACATGGCTTGAATAGTCGTTTAAACGATTCAACGATCTCAACTTATTTCGACTATGTTTGTATAAACTCAGGAACAGATAGAACTCACATAGAAAAGGGCGGTCAAGAGGCGGTTACCCTTCCAACCGAAGACAGCGTGACCATCGTCCTGTGGAGAAAGGAGAGTACTGTAAACTCTTGATTAAAATTACTGGAAGAACTCACCTCCATGAAGTCATAATGCGGCTCGTACTGCCCTCCAATCCCATAGTTTACCAGCTGCAGTGGCTCCGCAGTTTCCGTGCTTAATCCGGTGACATCCTCCAGACGCTGTTTGATCTGGGAAAGCCAAGGATTCGCATCGTACCACAGCCAGGTGTTTTGACTTGTGCGAATTTCGGATGTGGTGGAGTTCACAGACTGACCCACTTTCGAACGCTCCATATGACCCTTGCCCTTCTCCATGATTAGTTCCATTTCGCTGTCCCTTAAAACTTCATGAACATATGCCACATAGGGATCCAGATTAAGTTGTTCTACTTTGAAAGGTGAAAGACGGTAGTAAGGAACTCCCTGGTGGCTAAGCGAGCACTTAAGATTCCGCTGCTCGCGAGGAGATTGGCGGAGTTCTCCTTGGCAGACCCGTTTATATAGCTGGAAGCTCTCCTTTTTCTCCTGTTAAAGTATAGTTTTCAATGCATATCATACCATACCCATGGGTATCTACTTACTCTTTCTGTTAACTGAGGCAAGTTCACTTTCCTAGGACTAAGACTTCGCTCCTTTGCCAATTGGCCTTCATACACAATCTTATTTTTAAGAGCTTCCTCGTGACCAGACTCCTTATCCAGGATTTCATTGTTGAGCTTGTGAGCCAGTTTTAGGTTGCCCAATCCATTGAAGGCGGGTGAAAGGTGCTCCAGAATCTGCACATCGCTCACATTGGGTGAGATAAAGCCCAGGGGCTGGCCATGCATTCTTTTTCTAGCCTCCAGTAACCACTCAGAGCCATAAGAGTACTCCTTAATCTCACAAAGATTCTTTCCCAGTTCAAAGCAATCGCTGGCACTAAGTGAAGTTCCCAGTTGGTTTTTCTCCTCCGGAAGAAGAACTCCATTAGCCAAACGATTCGTGGGTAAATTGTAGATATTCTGCAGTCGTAGAAGACCCCGAGTGGCTCCATGGAGATCCTCCTGATTGGGTCCTTTAAACTTGATCTTATCAAGGGAATCGCCAAGCGAAGTCTTGTAGGCCTCGAAGTTACTTGTGTCAAATACAGGATCAAATACATTAAACTTCCAGTCATGAACTAGACGTCTAATGGTTTTGAAGGCGTTTAGGGGATTGCCGAAGTAGTCCTCGAGATCGCCACGATCAATTTGCAGATCCTCAACCTGTTTTAAAAATCTTAAAAAAATATATTTTGCAGTCACTGCTAAATTCTCATTTAAAAACACACTTTTTTATATTTTCCTGATCTTTCTGAGCTTGTTCAAGATATTGATCGAACTTTTCTACTATGAAAGCCTCCACGTCAAGCAGTCGTTCCAGCTCACTTATAGCCGAGTAGTAGTCCCCATTAACTGAAATAATGCAGACTACCAAAAAAACGATACTGAGTCGAAACATTTTCACTGCTCTGAGTTCAATTTACTACTGTTCCGTTTTTCCAAAAAACGAATTCGGAGATTGTCTGTCTGCCATGAGTGCAGCTAAACAAACATTGACACAGTTGGTATATTCCCGGCATTTCTAAAGTAAAGTGTGGCTAACAAAAAAGTGGGTGACTGAAGATGCTGAAGAAACACACGGTTATTGTCCCAAATTCAACATGAAATTGAATTTATGACTAAAAAAATATTTACAGAGATTTTTTCAATAAGCTGCCATGAAAAATGTTATTACATCAAGGCATGAAAAGTAAATTTTTACTGCGACAAATCTTATTAACGTATGGGATCGTTATTGAATCGTTTTGAGCTATATGCCTTAGTTAACCCATACATCTCGAAATGCCAAAACCCAGAACATTAAATCCACTGTTTTGCCTACTAGTTTTAGCAACGAGCAACGTCAACACTTATGTTGTAGAAAAAAGCTATGCCCTATCAATATACGACTTGATGAAGCTCATTTCCTATGAGCATTACCTACTAAATATCTTGCAGGACTTTACAGATCAACTGCAAGACAAAGTGAATACAATAGAAAAGTAAGTTGAAAACTATGCGGAAAATGGGAAATACGAAATAATTTGGTATAACTAAAGTTATTTGCAAATGATGGAATACGAAGAAGATGATCAGTTACCGACTAATCCCATTGAATACTTTCGGCTCATTCGTCGCCTGCACTTGGACTATTTAAATTGGGTATGGTATTTGGAACAGCAGCCCTGGGAGGGTAAGTTAAGTTAACCAATTAGTTTATGTATATACTAAACCACTTTTAAATAGGTTTGGTTTCGAATATAAATGCTATTGCTCCGGAAATGCCGTCCACCACAGACATCGAGGAGGCTACCAGTGGATTGAAACTCATCCAGAGGGTGTATTCGCTTCCCACTCATGAAATGGTCGAGGGAATTTTTCAGGGCATTCATCACAAGTAAGAACTATTTATGGATATTATGGATATATATTTATTCTTGATCATTTTTCTTAAGCACCTCACTCAACCCAATGGAGTGTTATACCATTGCCAATGATTTGTTCAAGGAGAAAGATTTTGTTTTTGCCTTGGAATGGTTGAGCGTGGGTGCGCAAATGTACATGGCGGATAAGGACAACGAGGATCTTTATACACAACTCGGAGTACCCTTGGTCAATTTTATCGAACTTTTCGTGCAGATACAAGATGCTCTAGGTAGGATTTTATAATCGAGAGTTTTCTGTTCTGATAAAGACTAAAAAACTCTGCAGGTGAGCGGAGTTTGGCCATGACTGAATTGGAAACAGCCATGGAGACTTGGCCGGATCAGGCTAGCTTGGGACGAGCTCATTCTCGCTTGAAGATGAGCATTCGCATCGGAGAGGAGTCAAAGATATCGGTGAGTATTGGAACATTAAAATATGAATTGCCATTTACTAATTGTACAAGCTAGAAAGAGGTGCCATTAGGTGTCTATGAGTATTGTTGCACACTCGAATGCCGTCCCAATTTAAGACTATTCTGCCAGTACAATACCACCGCCTCATCGTTTCTCCGATTGGCTCCGCTCAAAATGGAACTTCTATCCCTCGATCCCTACGTGGTGCTCTACCATGATGTTGTTTCCGAAAAGGACATCGCCAGTATTAAAATGCTGGCACAGAACAACCTCACCCGAGCCCAGACCTTCAATCCGAACAGAACACTGGCGATAGACCCTTTTCGCACGACCAAGGGCAGATGGATAAATGAGATGGAAGGAGTGATGCATAGAATGTCCCAACTAACTGAAGACATGACAAATCTCGACCTTAATGGCTCCGAGTTGTTCCAGGTTATGAACTATGGAATAGGCGGATTCTACGGAACCCATTATGACTTCTTAGGCACTCCGAATGTAAGTCCTTAGTATAAGCTTGATTACTCGTTTAATATCGATTATGCAGCACAGCAAATGGGACTTTTCAGATCGCATGGTCACGAGCATGATTTATGTAAGTAATTTCATTTTTATGATTGACTTTTTTGATATTTATTGGAATAATCGCCCCAAGTTGAGCGACGTGCCTCTGGGAGGAGCCACAATATTTCCGGAACTGGAACTGTCAGTTTTCCCAAAAAAGGGCTCAGCACTTATATGGTACAATCTGAATCATAAAGGTGAAGGCGATACAAGGACAGCCCACTCAGCCTGTCCCACGATAGTGGGCTCCAGATGGGGTAATAAGATCTTTCACATTTCTCCCAGTTCCATTTATTTAGTTTTATTTCACAGTCATGACCAAGTGGATAAGAGAGCATCCGCAAATGTTCAGAAGACCATGCCAAACTAAGAGAGATCGTTTCGAATGAAAACTACTCCAATGGTGTAAATATATTGGTTTAAATATGTGGTTTAAATACATTACTATGGTTTATCCATAAATAATTGATTTTTTTGGGTACTTTGTAGTTTGATCCATGTTTATGTTCTTATAATAAACGTAGTTTGTTACGCTACTTTGTATTTAAACCTAGTCGTATTTACACGGTGTTTCCAGCCATGTGGTACTCTCTGAAGCTTTATATTGTTCTGGTTTCTTTAGGTTTTCCCAACTGGGTCTACCCATTAAAGATTAAAAATTATTTTGATCTTGACTTGCGACTTATGACACAACTGAAAAGCTATTCTGAAGACCTGCAAAGTCAAATAAGTGTTTTGAGTCGGTAAGTGATTAATTAAGTTTAATTTAGTTAAATTTCCAGAAGATCTGTACTTATTTTATTGAGCAGCTATATAGAGGATAGACGAGCTAAACTAGCTGAGGTGGGAAACGATCGAGAGAGGTATTTGTCAAATCCTCTTAATAGCTTCTCCCTTCTGCACCATTTGCACTTTGATTGGAAGAGTTGGCGTTCGTTAATGGAGCAGCCAATGGCTGAAGGTAATTTAATAAAGGTTAAATTAGAAAAATTAAGTATAAAAGGCCCTTTTCATATCAATCCCCAGAACAAATCGAAGAGATTCAGGGAATGCTTACGCTAACCCCAAAGAAAGATGAGTTTATGGATTCCCTTAAAGCAGCTAAAGATTTCCATGATAAGCAAACCGACAACTTCGATAAAAACAACAAAAAGTTCCAGTTTAGGTTAGTAAGAAACCTTCATGACAACCTATGCTAATTATTTCAAATATTTAGCCCATTGGAATCCCTGGAAATCGCTCAGTTTGTATACGACCAGGAGAACTACGAACAGGCAGAAGACTGGCTAAGTAGGACTCTTAAGGGGTATAAGGAAATGAATCCCCAGCAAAAGGAGTTATACGATGTTCTAAGCCCCGTTAGTGAAAATCAGGTGCAGGATCTTTATGAAAAAGTACTGGAAATAAGAAAAGGTGTAGTTTAACTTATTTTTTTGTACTTGAATTATGGAGCTTAAAAGGTCAAGACAAATAAATCGCTTTATTATGGTCACTGTATTTTTCTTATGGTGTTCAGGGTGACGAATTCATTATTTAGAAGGTAATTTTTCTTAGTAGTGCGATGTTGGCAGTATTCAGTTGAGTTCGTAGACATGAAGACTGTCCAAAAATTTTTCTTTGGCTTAGTTATAGCTTTTATATCTCTTGTAAAAGCTGAGACTCTTGAACAAACTCAAGATGGTCGCATATTTAAATTAAACAATCTTTTGCAGATTAATGTAAATTTGTTGGGCGACTTAGATGATTATATAAAAGCGTTAGAAACAAAGTTACAAACAATTAATGAGTAAGTCATTCTTCCACTTACATGTCTATTAGGCTGATTAATCATTTTCAGAGCTCTTCTCGACCTATCAACATATCATATTAATTACGAATCAGACATGAAGTCTATTGTGACTAGTCCTGTGTGCAGTTTCTCCTTAATACGCCATATGAAATCGGACTGGACACATTGGCAACTTTTTCTGGAGGCAGATCCAGGAGAAGGTACTTAAGGTCATTGGATAATCATATTAATAGTGTTAAACCACTATTCTGATCTAGATGCATTGGAATCTCTGCATTCCAAGAAAAAGTATTTACCCACCTATGAGGATCTCACAGAAGTCTGCAGTGGCATTTCCAGTATTATAAACGCTTATGATTTATTTCCCAAAGACATTGCAAGAGGATTGTTTTCGGGAGTCCAGCTCAAGTAAGACATAAAATTTGAAAGTGAGGCTTATTAAGACTTATCCTCGACAGGTCCTTGATGTCTCCTCGCGATTGTGTCCAAATGGCAGCTCACAGCATAGACATTCAAGACTTCAACATGACCGTGGAGTGGCTACAGGTTGCTATATCTATGCTAGGTAATCCAAGCCTCCAAGACCGATTTCACACGCTTTTCCATTTAAATGCCACTGATTTATACTTCAAACTAGCTGAAGTCTACATAAGCCAATGTGAGTTATATCCAATTTGAAGTGAAAATTTATTTGAATATGTTAAAATACCCCAATAGACTTGTGGCTTCCTGCTCTCAAAACTGTAGATGATGCTTTGAAGTTACAGCCTAGGAATGCAAAGCTGCTTGTGATGGAAGAGCATTTGAGCTCACGGATCTTACTCGATTTATCACCAAAACTCCATATTTGAATATAAGAAAAAACCAACATCAATTGCAAAAAAACAAAAGCCTTCATTGTTTTTATCAACGCAAGAAAGAACATTCATTTTTATTGCTTACTTCATTGAAGGCAGAGATTGTTTTTCTCGATCCATGGATTGTGCTTTACCACTAAGTTTCTAAAACCTTTACTGGTGATTTCGACAACTAAATACGTTACAAAAATTAATAAAAATAATATTGAATAAAGTGAAATGCTTTTCTAGAAATCTTATAAATTAATAAGCTAAGTTAACTATATACATTTTCCGATATTTTTACTGTTTTGTTGGCCTTTTGAACTCCTATCCAAGATCGTTTACCCACTTGATCGTGACTGAAGAAGTAAAACGCTTGTAATGCCGGTTTCTAAATCTAAATTAGAGTAAACTTGCCCCATTTCGATCCCACGATTACGGGACAGCCGATATGATGCGATTTCGGATCTTCGTTGCCCATATTGTCCAGATTGTACCAGAAAAGAACTGATCCGGGCTGAGGGAATACGGTTAGGTTCAAAGCTGTGAACACAATGCCACCACCTTGGGGAACATCACTCAACTGTGGGATTGTACAAATCAAATAGGCATGCTGGGGATGAATATAAACCTACATAGTAAAGAAGAGTGGCAATCCTGTCTTTGGTTCCATTGAAGCGATCCTGAGGAATATATTTATGAGGCAGTTAATTTGCAAAACCGAAAACTTACCTCATTCTTTGGTAGTGTATCGAATTGACCCCCAAAGAGCCCTCCAACGCCATTATTTATCCCCTGGAAAATTTCGGAATGTCTCAGATCCAGTCCAGTTGCATCCTCCATCACATTTGTTAGCTTTTGGGTCAGATCGTTGGTACTCGATGGTAACCAGACCCACGTGGAAATTCGGGTAGATTCTATTTGATATGTACTATTAAAGGTACTATTAAAGGTGCTGGACGGTATAAGGTAATATTTACTACCCTTTCGTATACGCTTACGTTCTTTTAAAGAGACTATGTCATGAAAGAATACTATATAGGGATCTATTGAGAGTATCTCCACTTTAAGAGGAGCAAGTCGAAAAAAGGGGGAGGATGTACTATTGTACACACAGTAGAGTTGAAGTTTTTTGTCAATTTCACAACGACCATTGCAGCAGAGGGTAAACAATAGGTTATCGGGTCTGATTGGCTTTTCTAATTGGGAGAGGTTGAGATGTGCACCTGGTTCGGTTAGAACTTTTGTATCCGCCGACTGAAACTCCTTAAATAATGCTGGATCATGGGGACTCCTCTTTTAAGGCAGCTTGATAGGCAGCAAAGCCTTCTTGAGGCTTATCTGGAATTTAAATATTTAATATATATTTATTTCCAAAGCACCAAAGAACTTAATACTCACTCTGCATTTGGCGAATTCTTGCCAGAGTCCTGTACAATTCAGAACTTATTGGGGCTCTTAACAAATCCATCTCCGGTTGAGGATCGGACCGCTCCAGAGCTCTAAAACCTTCACGAATCCAGTTTTCAGAATCCAACCACCGTGAGGTTTTCATGAGATGAACCCCCATTTCCAGACAATCGCGAGCTGTTAAAGAGGAACTAATAAAGAAATTGATTAATACATCTCCCCAAATTATTAGTATTCACACTTACTTATATTGTACTCCATTTAGCAAACCATTTGCTATGTCTTTGGCTGACATCCCGTATACTAATTGCATTCTCCTAATTCCCTCAGCTGCTTCCGCAAAGTCCCATTTCTGCGGCAAAGAATGTTTCTTGGACTCTAGATAAGCAAGTTTATCTGAAACAGAAATCATTAGGCAATAAAAAAAATTACTTTTGGACTTACAAACCCAAGCCCACAGGTTTCTTCATATAGATTTTCCATGAAATCCAGTCTGCCTTCATATGACGAATGAGTGTGAAACTATTAAAAGGGCTACCCCAGAAGTGTTTTGATTTTTCCTGGACCTGCAGATGCCTTTTCATCATTTGGTCAATACCCCTTAACATTGCCATTGAAAAATAAGTTAAGGTAACAAATCTGATAAACTTCAATTTACTTACTTGTTAATAGTATGAGCTTTTTTGGCCAGATCAGCAGCATAATATTCCAGGTTAAAGGCCAGATCTTCGATTAACTTCAGCAGATTGTCCATGCTCGACATAGATCTAGCAAATCTGTGGTGGACCATTTGGCCATGGGTAAAAACCAAGGAAAATATGATGAAGAAGACCAAGCCAAAATTAGCCATTGTAAGGACTTAAAGCTCAAAAGAAAACAGTCAAATGAACATCCTAGACCATAGTAAAGCATAGTAATCAAATTAGCTTGGCAATTAGTTCAGCAATTTATAGTAAAGCATACTCTAATTACATTTGCTTTTCTATATTTTAAATTGTCAAGATTTAACATTTTATTGAGTAAGTTTGAATATATAGAAAATAAATATAAAGTTCATCACTAGATTATAAGTGTTTCAATAGATAAAATATCTTTAGTGCTTGAATTCGAGTTGATGCAAGGTCTTCTGAACTCTTGTCCAACATCTTCAATCCACTTGCTTACAACTGTGTAGGAAGCTTCTTAGGCATGAACCAATTTCAATTGTTGTACTACTAACCCCATTTGGAACCTGCGATGACAGGACAGCCCGTATGTATCGTGCGGATTTCCTGTTCACCCCTGCTGTCAAAATTGTACCAAAAGAGGGCCGACCCGAACTTTGGAAAAACCGTCAAGTTTAGTCTTGGAAAAAAGGTGGCTCCTCCTTGAAGAACATCACTCAGCTGAAAACCAGTAAAAATTTAACAATAAAGCACATAACAATACACAAAAGACTTGCGTAAAAGATTGTGGTAGCCATTCGGTCCGGTTTTCCTTTGGAAAGTTCCTTTCTTGAAAGCTTCAAGTCCATATGCATCTCGAAGAAGCCCCCTAATCCATAGTTAATGACCTGGAAGGGTTCCGTGTAGTTCATATCCAAACCAGTCGCCTTTTGTAAGCGCTCAGATATCTTCTGGGTCGCCTCGTTAAAGTTGTTATCCCACCATACAGACTTTGAAAATCGGGAAGAAGCGACTTTCAAGCTTTTGGTCGCTACACTATATACGGCGGATGCCAAAAGGCTCTTTTTGCTAGAAGAACGTATCAGCGCGGTCTCATTTGGGGAAATCATGTCATGTAAGAGCACCACGAAAGGATCAATCGAGAGGATTTCTGTTTTGATGGGGGCTAATCGCAGGAAAGGTGCGGTTACATGGTTGTAAACACAATAAAGTTTCCTAAGTTCTCGTGGAACTTCACATCGACCACTGCAACAGAGTGGCAACTGTGCACGTACAAAGACCTCGTCCTCCGCATCTTGTTCACTTGTGATCGGTTTGGTTTCAGGAGAAGTTAGTACTTCTCTTTCCAAGTTATAATATTCTTGAAATATTTGCTTGTCGTGCTGATATGCCTCCAAGGCACCCTCATAATTTTCTAAAAATATTTATAACTTTTCTGTTTATTAACCAATGCAGTTTCTACTCACTCTGCTCCATCCGCACTTGTCCTAGTGTTCTATACAGTTCAGCCCTATTTGGTCCCCTTAGCAAGTGCATTTCCCTCTGAACACCTGGGCGATCATAGACTTTAATTCCTGCTAAAATCCACTCCTCTGCAGATGTTAAATATGATTGCTCCATCAGATCGCGGGCCAATTTCAGACAATCAACAGCTGCCAGCGAGGAGCTAACTAAACGTGGCAAAACCTTTTACCTTATTAAAATTGTACTTACTTGTATTGCACTCCATCTAGTAAACCACTGGCTATATCACCTGCCAACAGTTGGTATGTCCCCTGCATTCTTGTAATTCCATCAGCAGCATCGAAAAAGTCATGTTCCTGTGGCTTCGTGGAATTTGTTGATACAAAAAGGCCAATTGTTCTGCACAAAGAGGACCTCAAAACCAAAGAAAACCTTATTTAATGTAACTACAAACCCAGACCCATGGGCCTTTCCAGATACTCTTGCCACATCAACCAATCCGCCTGCATGTGACGGATTAAGGAATAACTGATGAACGGGCTGGAACAGAATTCCGATGATCCTGTCTGCAACTTGTGGTGCATTTCTTCCATTTTTTGAATACCCCTTAAAGGTTCACAGAGTCTTTATCTTAATCCTAGTAAAGCCCGTCTCTTTAACTCACCACCTAATGATTTTGGCTTTCTGGGAAAGGACAGCCGTGAAATTTTCCAAATTGAGAACCAGACTTTCTTCCATTTTCAGAAGTTCGTCCATATTCACCACGGATCTTGAATACCGGTTTTCCGTGTTGTTCTCTTGACCGAGACTCAGACTCAGGAAAATAATACTATAAAGTAGCCGTTTATAGATCAGCATTATGAATCAAAAAACTTGAACTAAGACTGGGAAGTTTAGCTCCCAAACATTATTATAATTATATTAGCAGGGCTATTAGTTTCACTTTAATTTACAACATTACCTACTTTTACAAGCCTCGGCAAAATCTTGCCTTAAGACTATAGTAACTAGAACTTCTTTCTCCAACTCAAAATTGAACTATAGAAAATCCACCAAGACTTAAAAATAAGTGTCCATCAATTTCAAGTTTTAGACCCTTATACCGTATAAGCGTAATAGTTTTATAATTTATGGAATATTAAATTATAATACTTTCAACAAATAATAAATCCCTGCCTTTTAACCTCGAATCGATGCAAGGCCTTTTGAATCCTGCCCCATATCAGTTATATACTTGCTGACAACTATAGAGCCAAATCTAATTTATACTTTAAAGGAATGGGAAAAGATCATTAAAAAACATGCAAGTAAGCTATTAATAATTTTCCATAACTAATATAATTACAAATTTAAGTCGGACTTAAGACTACAACAAGAAAAATTACATTATTTCTCTGACTACTATAACTTAAAGTAATAAAAAATTAGACTATAAGTTTTTCAACAGATACTAAATGTTTAGTGGTTGAACTTGAGGCGATGCAGGGCCTTCTAAACTCTTGTCCTTGATCGTCCACCCATTTGCTGACAACTATGAAGGATAGAGTAAATTAAAAAGTCTGAGTGAATCTCAATTGCAGCCCTACGAACCCCATTTTGAACCCACGATGACAGGGCAGCCGGTGTGAAGGGTGTCCATGTGATCATTACCCTTCGTGTCCAAATTGTACCAAAAGAGGGCCGACCCGGCCTTTGGGAACACCGTGATATTAAGTCCTGGGAAATAGGTACCGCCTCCTTGGGGTACATCAGTCAACTGGTGGTCGGATATTAATCAGATTATATATTATACCTTTGAAATCTTAAGTACTTACATAGAATAATGTGGTAGCCAAACGATCTTGAGTTCCGTTGAATCGAGTTTTGTCCGAAAGCAACATGTCCAAGTGCGTCTGGAACAAGCCTGCTAATCCGTAGTTGATGACCTGGTACATCTCCGTGTAGTTCATGTCGAGACCAATTGCATCTCCCAAGCGCTCAGTTAGTTTTAGGGTCGTCTCGCTAAAGTCATTATCATACCATACAGACTTTGAAGTGCGATAGGTGGCGGTATTATAATCATCTGCCGTTTGATCGACGACAACTGTGGCTGATGGCAGCATGTGCCCTTTGCTGGTAGATCGTATTAGCGTGCTCTCCTCTGGAGAAATCATGTCATACAGAATAATTACGAAGGGATCAATCGAAAGGATCTCGGTTTTGATGGGGGCCAACCGCAGGAACGGTGCGGTCACGTGGTTATAGACACAATATAGTCTTTTAAGTTTTCGGGGAACCTCACATCGACCACTGCAGCATGGCGGCAAGTTTATACTCTCGTCAGAATCGTCCAAATTCTTATCTTCATCTTCGATCGGTTCTGTTCCAGTTAATGTAAAAGTTTCTTTTTCCAATAGCTGATACTCCTGAAATATTTCTGAATCGTGGGGCGAGTATTTAAGGGCAACCTGATAGGCTTCCAAGGCACCCTCAAGATTTTCTATAATAGATGGAGGCTTACCCAATTATTAAACCAGTTGCATGAACATTTTACTCACTCTGCTCCATCCTTACTTGTCCAAGAATTCTGTACATATAAGCCTTTTTCGGTCCTCTGAGCAACTCCATTTCCGTCTGGGGATCCTTGGCTTTAATGCCGGCAAGAATCCACTGCTCTGCAATCATCCAACGCCTCTGTTTGATCAGAAACTGACCCAATGCAAGGCAATCAACTGAACCCAGCGAAGAACTAAAAATGAAGCCGGTTAAACTACTTTCTAATGTTAATAGAACCCCAAAAAGTACTTGTATTGTACTCCATCGAGTAAGCCATTGGCAATATCACTGGCTAACATCTCATATGCCCCTTGCATTCTTCTAATCCCGTCAGCAGCGTCGTAAAAGTCATGGTCCTTTGGCAAGGTGGACTTCTTTGACTCCAAATAAGACAATTCATCTGCAAGAAACGGGAAATTTTTACTTCTACATAATTCCACTAATGCAATTACGAACCTTCACCAACAGTCTTTTCCATAAACACTTGCCACATCAACCAGTCCGCTTGCATGTGTCGGATGAGGGAAAAAGTGTCGAATGGGCTGACCAAAAACTTAGTTGATGCACTATAAATTTGGTGCCTTTCTTTCATCTCATGGATACTCCTTTAAAGCTTACAATGCCCTTCAAATTCATGATTATAGAAGTTTTCACTCACCTTCTAATGGTTTTGGCCTTCTGGGAAAGACGATCCGCATACTTTTCCAGATTGATGGCCAGATCATCGTCCAATTTTAGTAGGTCGTCCATATTGACCACGGATCTTGAATAGCGCTGCGTGTGATCATCCTCCAGGATCTGTCCTAAACTCCTGCTGAGGAAGAGAATACCCACGAGAAACAACCTACAGGTCGCCATTCTAAATTTCACTAGCTAAAACTGAAACTAAGATGTTGAAGTTAAGTAATTACATTTATGCGGCTATTAGTTTCACCTGGATCTACAACTTTGCTTGGCCCTGTAGTTGCTAAAAAAATCGTCGAATAAAGTAACATATACACATTTTAAAATTATATTTAAATTAAACAGCATAAAAGGTTATATTAAAAGCTTTTCCACAGATAACAAATACTTTGTGTTTGAACCCGAATTTACGCAGGGTCTTCTGAACTCTTGTCCTTTATCCTCTATCCACTTGCTTACAACTGAAAAGAAGGAAGGACTTTAAAGAATACAAGACCTCGATTGCAGTGCCACAAACCCCATTTTGAGCCCACGATGACGGGGCAGCCGGTGTGCATGCTTCGGAGGTGCTCATCGCCTGTCATGTCGAAATTGTACCAAAAGAGGACCGTTCCGGCCCTCGGAAAAACCGTGATGTTAAGTCCTGGGAAATATGTACCGCCGCCTTGGGGTACATCAGTTAACTAGAGAACAACGGGTTCAAATAATAAAAATACTAAATAAAGCAAGACACTAACATAGAATAGCGAGGTAGCAATTCGATCAATAATTCCAACACCGAAACGGTGCTCATTCAAGTACAAGGCGTCCCAGTGGGATCCGAAGAACCCTCCTATTCCATAGTTAATGACCTGGAAGGGCTCCGAACGATTCATATCCAGGCCGGTGGCATCTCCCAAGCGCTTGGAGAGTATCTTGGTGACTTCGGTTTTATTCGTTTCAAACCACACAGACTTTGAAAGACGATTGCGGTCGACCATATATTTCTTATTTTCGGCGTTGACTGTTTCAGAAGGTTCCAAGGCCTCTTTGCTTATAGATCGTAAAAGGGTGCTTTCCTTTTTAGAGACCATGTCATGTAGGATAATGACGAAGGGATCAACCGAAAGGATCTCGGTCTTAATGGGGGCCAGTCGCAGAAATGGATTGGTTACATGGTTGTACACACAATATAGTTTTCTAAGGTGTCGGGGCACCTTACAGCGGCCACTGCAACAAGGTGGCAAATGCATTTGTTCGTACTCATCATCAAGCTCCTCAATCGGTTCGGCTACTGATAATGTATGAATTTGATCTTCCAAGTTTTGATACTGGTGATACAGCTCCACATCATGGAGTGAATATCGTAGGGCAGTCTGATAAGCCTCCAAGGCTTTTTCTGGTTTTCCTATAAATGTTGGATTTATATCCCTTAATCCTTAAGGGCATTTACTTTTTACTCACCTTCCTGGACCCGCAAGTCTCCCAGTTTCTTATAAAGCTCACTTTTGATAGGTCCTTTTAGCAACTGCATTTCTGTCTGAGGAACTTCTCGAGCATGGGCTTCAAAACCGGAAATAATCCATTGCTCTGCAGCTTTCCAGCGCATGTTGTTAATGAGATGTTGACCAATTGCCAGGCAATCAACAGCTGCCAACGAAGAGCTAACGTACAAGTCTATTAAACTTCTGTCTCTATAAGGTAAGCGACACGTACTTGTATTGCACTCCATCCAACAAACCCTTGGCCATATCACTGCTTAACAACTCGTATGTCCCTTGCATTCTTCTCATCCCTTCAGCAGCGTCTTCAAAATCAACTTCATGCGGTAAGTCGGGAATTTTGCCCTCCAAATAAGCTACTTCTTCTGAATATAGGAGGTTGTTACGACTGAATAGCGAAATTAATTAATTAAAATGACGTACCCTGGCCCACAGGCTTTTCCAGATAATGAAGCCACATCAACCAATCCGCCTGCATGTGACGGATGAGGGAAAAAGCGTTGAAAGGGCTATCCCAAATATTCGTAGATTCCGACTTATCTTTTTGATCCATTTCCTGCATCTGGTGAATACCCCTTAAAGGCTTTCAGTGTCTTGTCATTATTCCTAGAAGGCCATCTACGTTAACTCACCTCCTTATTAATTTGGCTTTTTTGGAGAGCAAAGACGCGTACTTCTCCAGATTGAGTGCCAAATCATAATCCGTTCTTAGTAGATCAACCAAATTCACCACAGATCTTGAATAACGCTTTTCAGAAATATCCCCAAAAACCTGCAGGAGGCAAAGGCTTTCAAAAATAAAGCCTAAGAGTAGAAAACTCAACATCCCCATATGAATCTTTAAACTTCTAACTTTACCAGGAAAATAAAACTTTCAGAGTTATTTTATAATTATATTAGCTTGGCTATTAGTTCTACCTTAATTTGCATTTTGCTTGCTTTTGCAAGAAGCCTTGCAAATTATAGAGCGTACGAAAAATATAATTTAATGTTGAAATGTAGTCATTAATACATGTTACAATCTAGTGAAGCTCTTAGATTTACTAAGTAATTATTGAAGTAGTTTGCCTTAACTAGGTTATCTTAAGTGTTGTATCCAATATCATTTTTATTAACATAAAGTTATATACTTCAGCTTTTTTCGCCATTTCCATATAAGACTTATCTCATTAGTTATTATCTAAGCAAAACCAGTTGCCCATCCAGTGGCTCATCGAACTCGGCACTTTCTTTGGGTGCGTGTGAGAACAGGTTTCGGTCCAACTGAAACCCCTGACTTCTTATAGCATTATGTAATGTTCTGCGGGGTCAAATGCCGAGATCAGTTGGAATCGAAGAGCTCTGGAGAGCGGATCTCATACAAAATGATGTTCCCGGTGTTTTCCGTGCTTCTGTTGGTGATAAACCAACTATTTTGCTTCGTTTCTGGAGCCGAATTCTTCTCCTCCATACATGAGATGACAAAAGTTTTTGGCTATGAACAGAAATTGCTTTTGCATATGCAAAAGTTCTTGGGCGACAATCAGGAAAAATTGGATTTCCTGAAAGCGTAAGAAAATTAGCGAAGAAAATCCGTTTCTTAATATTAACATATGCAATCTAAAAAAAAGGAGACTGCGGGAGTTCGAGAATGAACGAAATGAGGCCCGTGAATGGGGTCCAGCGTATTTTGATAGTCCTATTAACAAATATTTGCTTAATAAAAGACTGACAGTAGACTGGCAACGAGTGGAGAACCTCATGGATGCTTCAACAGGCGAAAGTAGGTAAAAACTAACCTATTTTTTAACATTTTAAAATATATTCTACTTATTCTTATTTTCCAGAATCTCTGAAACGCCTGAGGAAGCTTCGAAATCTAAAGATAATGCCCAATAAAAAGTGAACTAGAGGGAGCCATAGATGGGGTACTTCGATTGCAGTATGTATACAGACTGGAGGCCAAGGATCTTGCCAGGGGAATCTTGGATGGAGTAAACTACGGGTGATTAAAGCGCACTTCTTATCATAGGATTCTTAATTGAGAATTTTATTTTTATTTTTAGCAACCAACTGAATTCGGAGCTGTGTGTGGATATAGCTAGGTTAGCTCTGAGAGATCAGCACCCACGATTGGCTCATTCCTGGCTAATTGAAGCTAATGGTCGTTTGACAGGAGGAGAAAAAGAAAAAGAACTGAGACCACAGATATTAGCACTTCTAGTACAAGCCAAGGCGGAACTGGAGGACTTTCGGGGACTAAATGATACTTACCAGGAGCTATTAAAGATTCAACCAGCTAGTGAACAGCATGCCAAGAATTACGAAAGCTTTTTGGAGTCTCTGGGAGAAAAGGCTTTATTAAATGATTCGAAACCAATACTGGAACATGCTGTAAGGGATCTGGTCTTAAATATTATAATTTTTTATATTTTATAATTTAATCCCATAGCCTATTCCTGAGGAGGGAGAGACTGTGGGTGAGTTTCAGGGCTACAGCCTCACCTGCAGTGGTCACTGGCAACTCACTCCGAAGGAGCAACGTAATCTTCGCTGTGGTTACGTGACGGAAACTCATCCTTTTCTGTGGATAGCTCCTCTCAAAGCGGAGGAGCTTTTTCATGATCCACTACTCGTGCTCTACCACGACGTGATATACCAGAGTGAAATCGATGTCATACGGAAACTAACCAATAACAGACTAAGTCGCGCTAGGGTTACGAGTCATAATGAGTCGGTGGTTTCCAATGTTCGCACCAGCCAGTTCACTTTTATACCAGTGACAGAACATAAGGTGCTGGCCACCATCGACCAAAGAGTAGCAGATATGACCAACATGAACATGAAATACGCGGAGGACCACCAGTTTGCCAACTACGGAATCGGTGGACATTACGGACAACACATGGACTGGTTCAGCCAGACATCCGTGAGTTGCGAATCTTTCTATTTAATAACATTTTATTTTATTTTTGTAAAAATGTTTGTAATTAACAGGTTGATGCCGGCTTGGTCTCCTCTCCCGAAATGGGAAACCGCATTGCCACAGTTCTTTTTTATGTAAGTAAAATAATTTAACGACAAAAAAAAAGTTATCGGCTTAGAAGTCCTGTTTTTGGAAACTTTTCTGCAAAGCCATTTTTCGAGAATTTGGAAATATGACGAAAAATCAACCCAAAAATACAAACAAAGATTTGAACACAGATTTTTAGAGAATTAAATAACAATTATTTTGAAGTATGCCGCTTTGAAATCGGATGTCTGTAAGAAAAGTTATGGGCTCAAGAAATGTTTAGATACAACCACTATCTTCCGATTGTTTCTATAGGAGCTATAAAGAAGACCGATCAGGCCTATTTCAACAGAAACAGAAGGAAGAGGCTAAGTTAGCTTTCATTCTCGTTTTTTAATGAAACCTTAAATTTTTTTACATTATCCACAGCTCTCTGATGTGGCTCAAGGGGGAGGCACCGCCTTTCCACAGTTGAGACAACATTTAAAGCCGAAAAAATATGCAGGTATTTCCGATTCCAATGTTTCTTTTTCCTTTGTGGTAACTATTTATACAATTCCAGCTGCCTTTTGGCACAATTTGCATGCTTCTGGTGTGGGTGATGTTCGTACTCAACACGGCGCCTGTCCCATCATCGCTGGTTCCAAATGGGGTGTGTTCTAAAACATCTAATTTAGTAAATCTGACTTAACTGAAAACTTGTTATTTTGTAGTGCAAAATCGCTGGATCCGAGAGATTGATCAATCAGATCGTCGACCTTGCGAACTTTGGGATGATTCTTTGGCCACCTACGCCCAACTTTTGGAGGCTAAGTAAAAAAATCAGAATGAGGCGGTTTTATAAATAAGTTTAGAAAAATTAGCATTTAAAATAAGCCTTCAAGTCAAGCTTTCTGTGAACAGAGCTCTATTTTTAGATAAAAAGATTTACATAAAATAAACAAAAGAAGTGATACAAAATAAATTCTTTAAAAAAATTTATATAAATCCCTCTATCAAGCTGAATCTTTTAAGTCCTTTATGGTCGAAATGAATGTGTATTTTACCATACTTACTTTCACCCTTAGGATTTCCAAATAAATACACATGATTGAATACCTGAGGTTCCGCCAGGAGTGGAGACCCCGTTCAAAAAGTTGCTTTATTTGTGATCTGTTCTCTCGCTGCTTGTAACATTCGCCAGCTAAGTTAGAACCAACACTAATTAATTGTGTACTTGCTAGTACTAGCTGGAGCCCCGCTAGCCCCGCCCATTCTAAAAGGTCAGGGGTCACAAGGGGTCATGCCTTTGGCTTGCAGCTGTTCCTATCTGTTCTGATCTGATCTGGGTCTGGTCTGCTCTATCCGCAATATGTGTGTATTTGAATAAATTCATAGAGTATGTCTTAAAACAAACATTCATATGTAGTTGTATAAGTAATGCATTTAAATCCAGCAACAACATTTATGTAGTATTTAATTTCTCTGCTCTGCGCATAATAGTACAATAATAATGACAATAATTCTCTGCTATATGTATAAGTTTGAAAAGTTCACCGCTCTATCCATCAAAACATTTATATAAATTTCTCTTCTTTTTTTGATTTTCTTTTGATATTTTGTCTTTTTTTTTTTGTAAATTTTCTGCGAAAATTGTTTTTTATGTAAGTAAAATAGTTCAGTTTGGAGATTTTTTCGCAATGCTGCATTTTAAAAGGACACCGAGTGAAAGTTTTTTTGACTATGCAAATGTGTCATGTGTATAAAGGTTTAAATTCGCTTTATTATGTCTTTCAATATGTTTTTTCTCTGGCTTGTGGTGGGTGATTTGCTAGACTGTCACTAGTATAGTTATAGTGTAGTTTTAGTTACAGCTTTAGCTTAGTTTTGTTTGCTGCCAAGGGATTGTCTTGGGGGTACATTCATGGTACTTTGAAACATCGATATACAAATACACTGATTACATAAATATATAGAATATGGTGTGTATATTCTCATATGCATGACTGCGTTAAAATTTGACTAAGTTACTTTAACATAAAATTCTTGCCGCTCCGCCTGGGTATTTCATCGGGGGAGTTTATTGAAATTACAGTTTCTTTCTCTTAAATGTACGTTAGTTAATTACCATTTTTCTAGACATATTTTTTTTTGTACACCTAAAAACATCTATATAAGAGTATCTGTCCTCTGTAGTTCGCAACGTTTAACTTTCACATCAATAATAAAATTGTTTCCCTCTCAGAATATTTTGATATAATTGCATAACTTTTGAGAGTATCCTTTTCGATAGGTACTCTATATTTCTTCTGCGCCATCTTCGGTTCGACTTGGTATATGGTTGTGTAAATGTTTTGTTTTTAAATTGAAACTTTTATCTCTGGTCGCCCAACTTTCCCCTTAGATCTCGTAGTTGCGGAACTTGTTGGCCACATCGGTGTTTTCGCCGCCCCATTCGGCCTTGCGACTACCGTAATAAAGGGCCGCCCCGCCCTCCGAGGCCCGCCGGTGGGCGGGATTGGGCGAGGCTGCGGTCAGGCCACCGCTGCTGCATCCTGCTCCGGATCCGGGTCCTTGGGCAGCTGCTCCTCCAGCCTCCGGCAGCATGCGATCCTTGGTCTTGGGAGTGACCCAGTGCATGGACTTTGATTGGTTGGCAAAGAGGGGGTACAAAGGCATTTAATGAGATAAAATTCCCGCGGTTGTGGTCGAGGACCAAGGCATTTTGATTTCTCGGAGGGACTTACTGCCAACCGGATGCATTGGTCCTCCGTTTCGCATGCAAAAACAAACACGGATACACATAGAGTTCTGGATGAAGAGGCACATTCAAAAGAGGTTTACATTCGATGGAGTTGGGCACTCAGGAGCGGGCTTATGGAGAGACACAGAGAAATAGGAAGAACAAGGGGCTTGAGTTGGATATACTAACTACTCTTGGAATAAACACAGGAAAATTGTAAATTTGTTAAATTCTTGGCTGATAATTTAGAAAGGTAATAAATGAATAAAATAATTATTTCAAGATCTGGAGATTAAGCAACATAATTAATTTCCAATCTAAGGAAATTCGAACTATATTTGTTGGAATCTTAAGTTGTGACGTCTTTAAGTATGCAGCACCTTATATTGGTATTATAAAAATATTAATATTAATAAACATTTGTTTATTATATCTAACTTTAAGGTATAGATTTTTTGAATATACTTCGCTCGGGGAAAAAGAAAGGGGACAAGTTATAATTACAAAACAAAAGTTAAGTAATCCAACTTTAATGGAATTTCTATTGTTTAATTGCCCTCCTTCATTTTATTGATTCCCAGGGAGTATATTCGAGTTTAGGAGCCTTTTCGCAGCAAAGTTTCAACAAGGTGTCCGAGCTGAAAATTAGAAATGCAAATGCGGATTTGGGGCGCTCATAATCCCCGCCCCCTTTGAAGGCCGGACAATGTCAGCCGCTGATGGATGGGCGACAATTTCCGCTTGGGCCGTCAGCGGAAATTAACATGGAGCTAGAGGGCTTGGGGGACATGGTGTGCCTGGTAATGAATAATCGCGTTAATTGTGCTACAACAAAAATGACCTCCGGTTCGGCTTACAAATTTGATTAGGAGCGTGACAAACAAACCAATGAAAGGAACTTAAAACAGGGACAAGTGTGGCCGCAATGCAGCGTTTAAAAGGATAAAAGTAAAGGATCAGAGCTCCCTTTGTGCCAGAGTAAGTGAGTGGGCTAGAAAGAGGGTGTAAGAGGGTCGGGGCGACTACTTCTCTGGTTATCTGAGTTCCTGGCCCATAACGCATACCTCTTTATCCACTTTCTCGGCAATCGTGTATCTTCTCACCTGACCGACATGCTCCTTCATGCCTAGCCACTGCTTGTAGCTCATCGAGATGCCGCTGTTGCGCCACTTGTCGTATACGGCCCTCTTTTCAGGGTCACACAATGTCTCCTTGGCCTCCTGCGAAAATACATTTCAAACTTTAGAACAATATTTTAAAAGAAAGTTTAAAATTAAATCCACTTTGGCAAAATTTCAATTGCGCCGCACCCAAATCAATGTGAAGTTGATAGTAATCTATATTTATTTTTAGATTTAAGAAATTCAAAGTTGCACCAATTAAATGACTACTTTTCTTATTTGCTGTACAACTTCCTAAAGTTTAGTTGAAATATTATAAGTTTAAATTATTAGGACATTTAATATCTTCTTAATAATAACTACTAAGCTATAATTATTTATAAGTTTATTATTTTTAGATACACTACGTACTTTAACTAACTAAAGCAGGCCGCAAAAATAAATATTTCAGTAGAAAAACAAAGTTTGCCAACAAAGGTCTCAATATCTTGCAAATAGCTTTTCCACTGACCCTGTCTTTGGTATTTCGTTTAAATTTTTCTTTTCAGAATTTCGTTCCTTTACCATGAATAATCAGAGGCACATTTTCAGTGAAAGTTCTCATTTTACAACACAAAATGTGTAAGGCAAAGCAAACGTTAATCTATTTTGCTCGGTACCGAACATAAAAGGGGCACCCACAGCACAAGTCCCCCTCCTCACCACTTCTAAAAGCTGATCAGACCCATGAAAGTCAGGATTCGAATTTGCTCAAGTGCAAAATCAACAGCTGCACAGGTTTCGGATGCCAACCCATCCCCAAGTTCCTTATTTTTCTGCCTTGGTCTCGCCTGCATGTTAATCAATTTCATATGCCCCACTATAGCACACTTATTGGCATACAGACACACACACACACACACTCGTGGCACAAGGGGAATACCCGCACACTCATACACACTCATCTGCAGAGAGGCCCTCACATATTTGCACGCTCAAGTGATTTTGATAGCCTCGCCTCCCAGCTTGATATATATCTTGACTACTTTTACGGCCAGACCCAAAACATACACCCATAACCACATCGGTAGACACCGACACACTTGACGGGTGTTTTATATACATAAAGGGATGCACAGAGAAAATGATTAAGAATATATAGTCTTCTGGGCTCACCTCATAATAAAAACCTTTTTAAAGGACCCCTTTTAAAGAGCCTGCAAACCTCTGCAGTTTACAAATATAAATTATTTGAGGAGACAATAACCATAAATGGTTAAAAAAACAAAAAATGTATTAAAAAAGAATAATTAAGAAGGTTGTAAAAGACTTACAAGTATTAAGATATCTGTGTATAGCTAAGTATTAAATCCCTTAACAAGAACAATCTTAAAATACATTAATTAATAAACTACCTCTACATTTCCAATTGCTTATCTATATAAAATAATAATAATAATTTTTGATTTTTTAAACCTTTTAAATATTTTTCCTTCTTCCTATTTATATTTCTATCTATTTATATTTATATATTTTCGTCTAAGTGTAGATACCCAGATAGACAGACACCCACTCATACACATGCACAATTGGCGTTCTGAGATTTCATCGCTGGCCTGCTGTTTTATTGCTCGGGCTGCTTTTCGGGCCCTGTTTACATGATAATCAATTATTTCTCTACCCACTGATTATGTGGGTCAGCAAACAAGGCTCAAACCTGCCGAAGAACATAAGCGCAGAATAACCTGGAGTTCTGGCGGCTTGTTTGTCTTCAATTAGGGCAAACGTTTAGTTGCTTTTTGTGGAAATAATTCAGGACCCTTGGCGAATGGTAATTAACGGCTCAGAAGCGGCTCATCTGCACCTGACAAGAATCAAATCGTAATTGTATATTCCGATCCTGTGCTTTTGTCGCTACCAGTTTGTTTAGCCTTTCGTTATTATAGGATCCACTGACGGCCCGAGGGATTTTACTGGACAGCTTGACAACTGAAAATTGTGTTGTGAGTTGTTAGTCCAATAACATAATAATGAAGTCCTGGCTCATTTGCATACTCCTCGGGGAAATGCTGTGGAATTTCCCTAGCAATCCGCATCCCTACTTTGGCCTTTGAAAATCTCAACATTTCATTTTAAACGCTTCACGAGCTCACACACAGGTTTTGTTTTATGGCCAGCCATAAAGGTAAGTCCTCCTGCATTTCCCAACATATTTACGAGCCACGCACACATGCACGTCCAATTTTACGAGCCGTAAATTGTGCGGCACATTTCTTCTCCGCCGGACAGCGGCACGAGCTTCCAAACAGCCATAAGTATGATTACGACTCGGGAGGGAAATTGCCTCAGTCCAGGACCAAGGACCAAGGACCCTCATGCATATTCAAGGACGGGGGTGCACGTTTCCCCTTAATTTGGCCTTTTGTTATTTCAGTGTGTTAAAACTTCATGTATGGGGGAAAATGGGAAAACGGGAAAATATAAAAGAACAACAACCTGTAGAGAGCAACAATAAACAGAATCGCTGGGCTAACCAACTAGTAAATTTCCTGAAAGGCAATGAAATGCATTTCTTGGAAAAGCTAATTTCTTGATGCCAATTTGCTAAGCCTATTACTTATTCCATTTAAATGTTTCAAACGTATTCCTTAGAGTCTGTATTTGCTGCTTTTCCTTGCTCTCGCTTTAATTGGGGTAAAATCCTTAGTTGTACTCAAACTTGTAAAATGTACATTAATTCGTCCCTTTTATATCAAATAGAACAAATTATAATTTCATTTCTGTTTCTGGTTCTTACAAATAAAATGACGAAAACAAAATGTAATGCTAAGCTTAAAAAATGTTTAAACAAATTACTTAAATTATTTTCGCTTCAACACAGATTAATCCTATCACTTCCGCAAAAATGAATAATAGTTTGCTTACGTTACCCGCCAGACTCATATTTTATTTTTATATTCCCCACTCCACAAAGTAAATCATCCCCCGCGAAACAAGCATTTTCACCTTAGCCATCCAGCACTTTTGGCCCACATCAATTTGATTTTGTTTTTAGCCACACATTAATGAGTTGCCAGGTTCCGACACGCCTTTTTCAAACCCCCCATTTATGCTTTGACATGGAAAATCAATAAGTGTTTTCAAAAAATATATATTTCGTATGGGTAATTTATTTTATCTCATCGTCACCGCCTTTTTTTCTTTTGTCGCTTGGAAAATTCAATTTGAGGTCGCTGTGTTATTATGTGTGTGTCTGAACCATTGAACAGTGGGTGTGTGTAAGTGGGTTAAGTGCATGAGTGTGCGTGTGTAAAGGGCAGCCATTGTTTAATGCAGCTTAAAACTTTTCCCAACTGACAGACAAGATTTTGAATAGATGCGTGCGGTTGAGTGGGCCGCCAGCTAATTACAGAAACTATAGAGGGAAATACGGCTGTCAAGGAAAGTGCTTTCCACAGATTCAAGCAACTTATCAAGATTCGAAGCAGAAAGTTTTGAACTAAAGTTGATCCAATTGTGTGGCTCTAAAAGTCGGCCAACTGAACTTTTCAATCCGCTCGTCATTTATATTCATAGTTGCTCTTCTTTATCTAAACTTTGTAAATTCTTTTTATTATTAAAGCAAAGATGTCCTACAAATAAAATAAAATAAATAAAATTTAACGAGCATCTCTAAATGGCGGGAATTATCAAGAATTTGTACTTGAAGTAGCAATTTCTTACAAAATAATAAGACTTAATGTTCCAATATATCAACACAACTGCATTTTAAGCGTTTTTAAGAAACTAAAATATTCTCTGAGCAATAATATGATAAGATTAGATTCTTTTTTACAGCAAGTCTTTGGGAGAAGGATGTTCTTCTTAATTTATTTGATTTATAATCTTATGCTGTTCTCCGTTTTCAGTTCCCATTAAAAAATGTTGCAAGCATATAATCCATTTGTGGCTCTCACATATCAACGGAAAGAACAAGAGATAAATTTCGCCTAAGGTATCCGAACACGTTCGAAGTTCTTCGCCTCCTGCCAGGATGTTTTAGCAGAATAAGTATCAGGTTTATACAACTTTTAATTTTAAGGCCGCTCCGGCAACTTTCATCTCGAACATATTGCCCCACAGGCTGTCAAATTTACAGCTCACCAGCCCACTCCCCAAAAACAGGCGCACCCCTGGAAACTTCATTAAATATGTAAAATGCCGATACGCTCGCCTTTTTGTTTATTTCAGACGGTTGTTCCCTTGGATCTTTTGCGTGTTTTCTTTTGCCTACCTTTAGCTGTTGGAACTTGGCCTCCGCCTCCTTGTCGCCGGAATTCTTGTCGGGATGGTATTGGAGGGCCAGCACTTTGTACTCGGCCTGTATCTGCTCGGGCTGAAAAGGAAAGAAGCGAAGAGGAAAATGCACAAATTAGTTGGCCAAGTTAAGTGAATTGCGATGATGAATTCTCTTTGCCTCAAATTAACTAAGTATTTTGTGGTATAAATTTTTAAAATGCAAACACATTTTGGTACATAATGGCAGGACACACAACGACGCAAGTGATATGTGAACGTCTCCTGCGGCTTGCAGATTTCCAAGGAGACCGCAGCTCAGGTAAAGCTGTCACTACCAGACCAATCCTCCGCAAACTGGAGGGTTCAAATCCCTAACCACCCAGTCTTACCACCGAATAACAAAATAACAATAAGCAAACATTAAAACTTGACGAGCAAAAACGTTCGTGCGCAGTTGAGCACCACTTAAAGTAATAGAAAAGCTGTCGCTTTTTGCCATCATTGCGGCGGCATGGGGAAAATCTACCCGGGAAAAGTAAAAGCTTGCGGGGAAATGTAAAAACTTTGAGGGTTTAAAACGCTGTTGCCAAATTAATTCACTCGTCAGTGTCCTTGACGCTGGCAAAAGGCTTTTGACACTTGCCAAACAATTGATATTAATTAAGCCCAAGTGTCTTTCGGCCAAAAGCAACAAGTTGACAGCTACCAGTCATGATCTGATACGGACTTTCCTCGGGACCAGAAATAAAAGTAATGATGGCGATGATGCTGACAGAGTACACTAAGCGAAAAGCGAGAATTTTTGATACAGCTTTTCAGCTTGTACATATATAGTCGTACTCCCCTTTTCAAATTGGTAAATAATAATTGTTGAAGACATCACTAATCTTTTGGTGAAATTAGAACCTTTTTGTTTATCTATTCGGTAACTTGTTATTCTTAAATTGCCGAGGCATTAGAAATAAAAAACATTATTTTCTTACATTTTTAAAAGGCACTGCTTTTGAAATAATTAAAAAATATATTTATATTTTGTTTTTACTGGTGCTGTAAGCTCTAACCTAAGCCAAAAATCAACCAATTTTCCCAGTGCTCGCCACACAAAGCTACTTGTTTATTGTCTTGTAAATGGAAATGGCTTTTCGCGCACCATCAGTCGGCAGACACACAAAGGACCAAAGCAGCCGCACAGTGAGATGAGAATGACCAGCATGGGTCCCTTTTTATTCCATTCGTTTTCGAGTCTATTGTTCGCGGGGGGAAACGTCAAAAAGCAGCTGCCATAGAGCAAACATATTTAGGTCACCATGGTATTCGGAAAATATATGTCTCTCTATGATGTTGACAGAATTGATGGTTTTTATTCCTCGTGGATATTTCTGGGGCGCAGCCAACTCTTCCAGCAGAAGAAAGTGGATTACTTGCATTCATTGCGCTGAGCTTCATTTGCTGTGCCAACCGCACTGCAACGGTGCGTATAATTAATTTTAGAGTAATTAATATTGCTCATACGTCAGCGTGTACGTGGCCAAAGCAGCCATAGCCTTGGGGCACCCACACTGCGGCTTCTATAATTAGACAAATGGAATCTGTTCTACAGGCTTTTGTTGATTTTCGTGATCCTGTTTCTTCGTGTGCCTTCATTAAAATGTGATTCCCAAGGGCCTTGCTTCGCACCCACTTGCATTACACAATTGAATGAACTCAATTAGTGCCTAGAAAGCCAATAAATTTGCACTACAGTCGCATCACCATCATCAACCGAACCAATTTTAATTTCCACTTGATTAATTCCCCATCAGATTGCACCCGGCCAATTAAAACGGCCAGAATCGTTTGGAGATCTCTGTAAATTAGTCCCGAAAACATTTGAAGTTTGTGCTGCTCTGGTTAGTGGATTGTTTGGCTTGCGTATGCAAATTCCCACAACCTAATCTGCATGAGAATGGAATGGCTGCATTCTGAAGTGGGGATGCCAAGTCGAGATAATTGCCGGGGCAATAGAGATAGTCGGCAACGTGGGGCAAACAATGACGGCGGGTTAGGGGGTCAGTAGCCAAAGCTACGTGATAAAGACCCGGCCATAATGCTTAGCCCCCCACCCCACCGATTGCCTGCAAATATTTGATTTGTTTACATGCCCAGCAAAATCGATTCAGGTCTTAGGTCCTCTGCCCTGGAGCTACTGCATAATTCAATAGGTTCCCCACTCAGCCTGATGCAATCGACAGCTCGCAAAATGTGTGCGGCTCTGAACATTTTCCGGGCCAATAAATTTGATTACAACTCGCTTTCCCACCATCACCACCTGCCTTTTGGAAGCAACTGAACCCGAAAATGTGACAACTCAAGATGAATGTCAGGAGCTCAAGAGTCGAGACTGCTGATGGGTAAATGCCATTAAGCCGCCCGAGATTGCCTGCCAATCCGAGCTCGTTAATTCCGTCCAGACAGGAGTATACTAACTTCAACAATCGGTGGGCTTAGATGGGCTCTCTCGGTTATGTGGGTAAGCCTCTGAACCTCTGACTCAGAACTGCTCGAACTGCAACTGCAGTTGCGGCGGATCAACGCCAATTCTGCCAATCTACGATGGCTGACTGAGTAATTGAAACTAATTCTCAAAGCAAACCTCTCGCCTTCGAGGTATACTGTGAGAAAAAATGTAGATCACCGAGTTGGAGAGAGTTCAAATTAGTTTCTCGTTGGAATTGTTGTTTTCAATAAAGAAAGGTTAATTCGTAGATATTAAAATCTCAGAAGAACTTTTCTTGACACCTAATTTATACAAGAATTGTTGTCCAATTTGACAGATGTTTTTCTTTTTATTTAAACAGGTACAGGTTTTTGTATAAATATCTTGATTATCTAGGCTTTTACTACAGCTGATTCAAAGATATTTTAGTTATTTAATACTTTTTCTCCCAGTGCCAATTCGCCACATGAATGGTATCTGATTTCATAGATGATTTCATGCGAAGGTTAGTATTGTATGCACGAAAATGTAATAAAAACATTGACTTTAAGTCTTATAAAAGCTATCAATTTGAGCCACCACATCTCAAAACTGGTCAAACCTAAAATCCCCAATTCGATTAGTCGCACTTTTGCAAGCCGCAATTCAATTATCGCTAATTAAATTGGTTGTAAAGTTTACTGAGCCAAGTGAGTTTGGCAGCCGAGATTTGTTAAAGTTGAGGGTAACATTTGGAGGCAACGAATATAAGGTTAAGTGTTCAAATACAAAGTAATTGATAGGATATTAGAACGTAAACTTACCGATGAGTTCTCATCGCAGTGGAGCAGACCGTAGAAGTCCTCGTTGGGACTGCGCTTGTAATTGATTATGGCATCAACGGCGCTCATTGCGTCAGTTTTCGTGGGATCGGTCGGGAATATAAATGTATTTTTCTATATTGAGAGGAATCGGCACAAGTTCAAGGTTGGCGATTAATAAAAAGACCATTATAGCATTTTATATAAGCCGAAATAAATTAATGGCTCAAATAGATTGTGAAGTCTGAAAACTGGCCACATTCATATTCGTTTATTGAAACAACTTTCAGTTTTAAACTAATGTTTCAAACTGTACATTAACTTTATTTAATTGTTTTTCAGTGACTATCAATTGACAGCATTATTAATTATTATTATTATTTACACTACTACTTTTGCTCGGTCTAACCGGAAGATCGCAAGAAAATGGTAACTTAAATTATTACAAACTATATCAAAATCAAGGCAAACGAAGGAGATCGCGTGACCTTCGATTTGGAACAATTAGCAGCTAAAAATAAGTTAATCACAAATGCACAAAAACGAAATCGCCTAGTAATCAGCTGAAAGATCTGGTTTTGTTTTGGTTTTTGGTTTGGGTTTTTTGTTTGTTTTGCTGCGGTTGGTAGAAGCACTTTCACTTGTTGTTTTTCTAGAGCTTTAACTTTGTGTTATTGGTGGGAAAAACTTTGTTTATTTATTGCAGCTGGCTTAAAATCATATAAACTAAATATAAACTCGGCTTGCACTAGAACACTCTCTGAGACTTTCTCAGTTTCTCTAACTCCCACTCTCTGGGAACCCACTCAGTGGAATATATATATTTTCTGGGTTATATACTTTGGGTTAAGCGGTGCTCACGATGTTTCTGGCAGCGCGTCGAAAGTCGAACTGAACGTATCGCAACCTCGCGCACTGGAAGAGCTTAAAGATTGGGGAAAGTTCTCTCTCGAAAAGCCCCACAGCCTCCCAATCCCAACAAAATGAGCTTTTTGAGCGGCGGTTTTAAAACTTCGTTTTCTTGGAACCGAGTTTAATAACTGTTTGACGCGGAATTTAAGACCCAGCATTGCTGACTCATCTTAGATCTTGGGTGTCGGGAAATCCCCTAAAGTGTAAAAGAACTATGATTTAATAAACAAATGGTTAATTGCAGCCAACTTTATATAAAATACGTAAACGAATTGCAAGTTAAAAATGAATATTTCTGATTTAAAAATAAAACAAGTTACACATATTTAAAGGTATATGAATTGATTGCGAATTGTATGTTAATAATTCTTATATATTCAGTTAACATTTTCTGACAATTATTAATTGCACTTAAAGCTCTTAAATAATTTTGGTTCTTGTCTTAGCAAGTGCATCCAAGCTAGAAGCCTTTTTAAAAGCTTTATAAACAAAGCTTCTGCCATAAAATACTTGCCATAAATAAAACCCACGCCCACTTGTTGCTCTCAAAACGTGTTCATCTTTCCCTTCTCAAAACAAAGTTAGCCGAATTTGTTAAAGGGAAATTAATACTCCACCCGAAAAAGAAAACTCATCAATCTGCGGCCAGCTGCTTGGCAAAAACTTTTCCCCAAATGAAGTCAAATCGAACTGCGGGCGAAACCGAACTGAAAATAACCGATCCAGAGGAGCATTGGTTTTCAAATTAAAAGAGCCAGCCGAGTGTGAAGGGAAAGTTTGCAGCAAACGGAAACGAAATTGAAAACTGTTGCATACTTTGGGGCGGAGTGGTTCCTTGAAAACGAGGCCTAGGCCAAGAACCACCCACTAAACCACCCACTTGGACAAGCCAGAAAAGCCGCACTGGGCGAAAAATGATTTCCGTTCATAAATCATCATAATGGCGGAGCAGGACCCGGCATATGTATGTCTGGTCAGAAAAACAGGACCAGAACCAAATGAAGATGAAACCATTTGACCAACTGAAGGAGGTGGGTTTTCCAGGGGGCGGAGGCGAAGTGGGAGGGCCTGCGGAAAAGTGCGCCCGTGCGTTTGTTCGCCACGCACACAAGGAAAAGAGGAAAAAAGGAACCAGTAGATCTATGGACACGCATATATCGACTGCCAGATATCCAATACTTTGGGATTCTTCTTTTCCCAATTTAACGATGTAAAAGAAAATTTGTTAGAAAAAGTCTGAAAGTCTTTAAGTAAAGGAGATATAGTCCTTACTTTGTAAGCTTTGTGTTATGGATTTTACATGTATCATTATTATAAGGAATTGAACTGTCTCATTGTCATAAGATCATAACATGAATATAAATATAGGTAGTGTAAATATTTACGACAACTATATGGATAAAGATTAATACAATTTATTTTATATAAATAGTCAAGTTATAACTAGTATTTATATTGAATCATAATAAATAGGAACAGCGACATTTAGGAATTATTATATATTCTAATACATTTATTGCAAATGGATAATAACGAACTCAATATACCCATGATTCCTTCGTGAAATAGACGACACACACAATTTTACTGTGCGTGTGACGTCAACAAATGGAGCTAGAACGAAATGAAACGTTTTAATTAGACAAAAGAGCAAGGCAACTATTTATTTCCATTTCTGCTTCGACTGCTTACTGTCCACAGCCCGCAGCGAAGCTGCAGATACAGATACGACTACCAGCACAGATACAAATACAAAATACTTAGCAACTATTCCGGTACAACCCACTCTTTCCGCCTGCAGCCGATGATAAACCTCGTTGGCCAACACAGTTGCAATTCTCCCCCTTTCCATTATTTTTAGCGAATCCCGTCTAAGCTTTTCATACACAGTAAAAAATGGTTAGAGAAACTTAAAATTTACGAGTAAAATATATATCTTTAAAATTAAGGTATTTAATTAATTTATAGTTTTTCAATTTAGATTACACATTTTATACTGCCATAGAATATTAAAATAAAAACTGTTGAATAAATATTTACATTTTGGAAAACATTAATACCTATTATTATTCCATTTTAAGATATCTCTTGTAAAAGATATATGATTTTAAGTTTAGCTAATGTGATCAAAATTCATTAAACTGTCAAACTTGGCAGTAATTTGACGACAATTTTAAAACGTTTTTTAGAGTGTATTTCTGTGGTGAGTGTTGAGACCCACTTGAATTCCGATAAGCGAACATATTACGCAGCATGCTGGCGAGGGCAAACATTGGCAATGGCCAAAGAATTGCTGGGAAATTGCTCATTCGCCGGGTGTGCGGGGCAGAAAGTCCTTTCCGAGATTCTTCGCCACTGCAGATTTATGCATACCAGAGTTGTAGTGGCTACCAGATTAGAGACATTCCAGCGCTCCCTACCAAGCTGCACCTAAAAGTATGCTGGGCGAATGCCTCGTATTTGCAGTTTCCGTTTTGGTTTCCCCTGAATTGCATTCCACCTCACCACCCCTCCATCCATCCGAGTGTTTGTCTTTTTCTTCATTTTCCGGCTGCTCCTGCTAACTGCATTTCGCTTGAGTTAAAAGGAAAATCGCAAGTCAAACATGTCGAGTGGCAGTGCGTGTGTGTGTGTGCCAGCAAGCAATCTGAACTTTTCAATGGTCGATTGCCAGCTGGTTTTTCCTGATTTTCCCTTTTTCCCTGCCTGCCCTCCGACAGCTCAATTAATGGACGGCAGGCAATGAAAATTCTCCAGAAGTTGACAGAAATCGTTTTCGGGCCTTCCGCTTTAGCATGCCAGGGAAATCGAGACTGAAGCGAAACTTTTCTTCATTTCCCAGAATCATCTACACATGAATCTTGGCAAGACTGCGTTTTCCCCTCACATCTCACTTTGCCAGGTTTTATTTTCCCTCTAGGTCAGCGCGAGTCAACGACACTTGGCAAACGATGGCGCATTCAAAGAAAAGTCGTGATGAGGAGAGGGGAAGGAGGGTTACACAAGGAACAAAATATTAAAATTCGTTAATCAATGTACTGTTTATTTATACAAAGTAAACAAGAGAGTACACTATGAAATCTTTTTTAAATTTCTTTCCTATACGAACTGAAATAGTATAATTAAATATATTAGAACTCTTCACTTGTGCATTTATATTTCTTATTGCACATCAGTTTAATAATAATTTATCAAAATTAGGATGTTTATATAACATTGTACAAAAAATGCATTTGTCTTTTACTCTTTTGTAGATAATAATGCTAAAATTAAGTTTGAAATTTCATATTGCTTCAAAGCAATCTTAAACAGGAATAAATTGGGGAACATCTTTGGCACTGATTCTTTTTTCTTTCTGTGTTAAATACAGGCTACGTTAGCTTGTTGGCTTATAATAAAAAGTACTTCATTTACTTTGTGCAATTTACAACTGTGAAATAAACAGGGAAACGCCAAGGCCAAGGAGCTCTGATGGGGATAAGTAGGTATGTACATATAGAAGCCTGGAAAAAAGGAAGTGTGGTCACGCCTCGGTTGCACATGTCACCCCTTTGTATCTTTGTATCGTTGTATCTTGGCTGTCGTCGCTTTGTTTTATTACCCGTTCGCATCCATTCAGAGCAGTTCATCTTTTGCCAGTTTGTTTTTCCTTGCCTCTGTTTGCCCTATAATTTATTTATGCATGTATTTTATTAAAGATTTCCATGGCGTCGTTCCGTTCTCGTTCTCGTTGTCGTTATCGCCGCTGTCGTCATCCCAGGCCATCTCCACTCAGTTGTTGACAAAGAAATTACTTATTAATCATATTTGAGCGCTGATTTCTCGACGCCAAAAGGATCACGAGCAGCTGTGATGGGATGGATGTATGCGTGCTCCAACAGATGGTGGCAAAATGGTAGCACTGCAAAATAATCTGCATTGTAGGACTTTTAAGGAACTAGTTATTAAAACGTATTCTTTGAATATTTAAAAAAATTTTGTGTAGATCAAATTTTTAATTTGAAAAATATAATTTTTTTCATCTAATTTTTTCTTACGAATTTAAAATTAAATTGCTTTAGATGTCTTTGCTCAATTTGCACAATTATTAAAATTTACTTTTCACACAAATTGTATATTTTTGGTAGAAAATTAAAATTTTAAGAAAATATAATTCTTAAATATATTACAACAAAGTTTTAAATTAGTTTATGACTTTTCCTATGTATAATAAATGTATTTTGGAGTTACATATTCCTCAGATATTAAACTCACTTTTTTCTAACCTCTGCTGTGTGTGCGAGTGGGTGTTTAAGTGGCTTTGAGTGTGTGTTATCTCATGTTATCCTTTGGCTTGTCTCTGCTGTGGCTTGTCTGTCATCAACGTGGTTTTCCACATGCAAACACACATACGGTTTCCTAGGGGGGAATATGAAAGAAGTTCCTGCTCTATATTTCGTGGCTCTATTCATTACCCAGCACCCCTCCACCTCAATCCCAACATATTCCACATAATTGCATTTGCTCATCAGAGACTCACGTCCATTGGATGTATCTATATACAGGCATTTGTCCCGCATCATGTCGCTGCGTTTGCCGAGCTGAAAAGACATTTTCGAAAATTAATTTTAGAATATTTCGTCTTGCGTGTGCTTGGCGCTTTGTTTACACAGCGATCGGGGGGCAGAAATGGGGGGGCATTCGAAACACTTGTCTTTCATATATCTTGCAGTCCGCGATGCGATACAGGAAGTCCGCACATCGCTGTCAAAACTAAAGCCCCCAAATGTCAGCAATTGAAAGCGTTCGCTAATCAAAATCTAAATCGGAATCAGCACAACAAATCTGAAATCGGACAGAAGGCAGAAGGTGAAATCACTTGAGTTAGGCGTCTTCCGACAGATGCCCCTGTCACAAGGCACCCTGTACAGGCCCCACTGCTTCTGATGCACTGCCTCCACTCAGCTGTCGAACGCCGGCCACGCCAAAGGAGAAAGAAAAAAGAAAATA